GAGCGCTTCCACCAGGATATACTAGACTTTGAACGCCGCTACCAAGGACAGTATAACGAGAACATGATGGGAGACTACATTTGGGGGCTGATTCGTGAAAGTGATTTACAGTATAATCGTAAATCTCGAAAAACTACTCACTTCTAAATCTTTTATAGTAATTTTTGTGTTACTTTAGTATAAAACATGTTAATTTGGATTCATATGTTGTTTTTTCTGACTTTATGTCAACGAAAAGACACAAATTTGCCCGTTTTCTCATTGAAAATAGATACATTTCAAAATATCACTGTCCTGGTCACAAAATCAAAATTTGTGGGGAATAATAGCCATTTTCTATACTTTTTAGGCATAAGCAATTACAAAATAACACTTATTACCCAGGAACAAAAATTGTGTTACATTGTGAATTATTGAATCCACTATTGAATCCACGAGGTCCAATGTTCCCCTTTAATACATTTTTGCTTTTTTTGTGTTCACTAGGACCCCTTGGTTTAGTTGGAGTGTTCTCGCCAATAAAGTTCAGCGACCCAACATTATTTGTTTCATAAGTCTACCTGCTGATGAGACCCCTGAGGTTTAAACTGGTCCAGAGTTTGTTTTGTTATTATAATCCTGCTGGATAATATTAGTTTGGAAATCCCACAGGCTATTGGACGAATAAAATATATTAACTTTGTGCGTGGAGAAACCAAACGGAAGTTTGTTCATTTCATTAACAAAATGGGGGTGTGGAAAAATGAGTTGCATTCGATTCTTTGTTACATGCTCATGAAGTGATTTACATATATATATTTGCTCACATAGCCACCAACCAATCCACACCCATACCCACCAACCAGCTCACTTACATACCCAGCCACCAACTCACATAACCATCAACCAACCCACTCACATACATAGCCACCAGCCCACTTGCATACTCATCAACAAACCCACTCACATACACCCAGCCACCAACACACTGACATACCCATCAATAAATTCAATTACACACCCAGCCACCAACCCACTTACAAGCCCATCAACCAACCAACCCACTCACATACCCAGCCACCAACACACTTACAAGCCCATCAACAAACCAACCCACTCACATACCCAGCCACCAACCCACTTACAAGCCCATCAACCAAACAACCCACTCACATACCCAGCCACCAACACACTTACAAGCCCATCAACCAACCAACCCACTCACATACCCAGCCACCAACCCACTTACAAGCCCATCAACCAACCAACCCACTCACATACCCAGCCACCAACCCACTTACAAGCCCATCAACCAACCAACCCACTCACATACCCAGCCACCAACACACTTACAAGCCCATCAACCAACCAACCCACTCACATACCCAGTCACCAACCCACTTACAAGCCCATCAACCAACCAACCCACTCACATACCCAGCCACCAACACACTTACATACTCATAGATATGACGGACCGAGGCTCCGATGTCCACCCAACGTGCCGCCAGAGCTCTCGGTGGAAAAGGCTTCACGAGGGGTCCCTCAGCCGACCGACGAGTCTGAGGACTTGAACTTTGACGCCGACGTTCAGGGTCACACCCCCCCCACCTCCCTTTCCATGTGCAGTGGGTTCATTGCACGGCGAGTTCACGCCGCACAGGTGATGACGCGGTTATTATTTCCCTGGTGGTTCATCAGAGTGAGAAACATACCAAGTGTATTTCGATTTAAAGCTTTCGTGACTGCAGGGATTCATCTTCTTGGTTCTTTCGGTAAAGTCACGTAGTAGGGAAGTAATAAAATAATAAAAATAAAACATAATAAAACAATTGTTTTATTAATAAAACAATTGTTTTATTATGTTTTATTTGTTTTATTAATAAAACAATTGTTTTATTATGTTTTATTTTTATTATTTTATTACTTCCCTACGAAGTGACTTTACCGAAAGAACCAAGAATATGAATACCAAGTGTAGTTACTATTAATTAATAGCAATCACCAGATAAAGCCATCCCCACATTGCATTGGGCATGGGGGTTGGTTGACCGCTCTTCACCATGCTGGTCAGTAAGGGTTGTGAAGGGAGCCCCACAATCGATTCAAATATCACTCACCACCGATGCTCGCTAGCCATGGATGGGTATTGAAGTCAGGTCACTTGATTTAAAGTGCAGTGTGATATTCACTGCACCACCACTCTACCTCATAATAATAGGCTAATGTTCTTTATTTGAAACTATTTTGCAGGAGGTTCCTACTTTGAAATATTTGTCCAGATCCATCTTAATGAGCATTTAGAAAAGTCTGCTTTAGCTTCTAAGGCCAAACACAATGACTATGATTTGCCATTACTAAGTTACAGATTATAGTTTTTTTTTTGCTGCAGTGTACACTTGCTAGGGCCACAGTACGAATTCCGCTGGTTCAGTCGAAACGCACACGTGAGGAATTATAAACAAGTTGATTTCTCATTCAATGCAACATAGTTTAAACCTGACAAAAAATAATGTTGGGTTTTCTACTGTCTATAAAAAAACGGGTAATTATAAATAATTCCAAGACAAAGCAAAACAAAAGTATATTCTACATGACACTAAATTAAGCTTAACATACATCACCATTATCATTGTTTCCAATGCTGCATGAAAGTCGTCACCATCCCACATGCTCCTGTGGTGATCCCACAGTCCATCATCTCCTGCACATGGGCTGATCTCATCATTGCAGTCCTCCTATCTCTTTCTCTCTCTGGGGTCAATGTTGGAAAAACCCTTCCATTAAACTAGCTTGCTCAAGTGGTTGATTTCACTCTGAATTGTCCAATATTATATTCCTTATGATATTTACGAACCAATGAAATATGTGTGATAGGAGGCTACATGGATATGTAAAGCCATTTTTCCATCCACTGCTGTATGAGGGCATACCCAAATTGTGTGGGCTGGAGGTTATTTGACCGTAGGGCATCAATCACTCTGGCCAATGCGGCTTGGCCAGGGGTGGCAACCAAAACAAGAGGCATTTTTTTAGAATTCGGTAATAAAAAACTAAATTAAGATGCGCAGTGCACGTGGTGAATACGAGGCGGTCCTTAATACATAATGGTCACGAAGCAGCCTTTAAAGAGCCGCATGCAGCTCCGAAACCGCAGGTTGCCGACCCCTATAGGCTTGGTGAAGACAGAAGGAAACAGACAAGGGAACAATGAGTCTGCAATTCTGAAAAGCAGCTTTTGTATGCAGACAATATAGGATGATTGGGACATCATTGCACTATTTGTGTGTATTCATTTAATAGTAAACAAGGACGGCTGTGTATTGCAGTAAATCTGAAATAATCAATAGAAAAATTGTTCAGCTCATGATTATTAATGAGGGGGGTGGGTTGCCGCATGTGGAGTGACGTCACCCGCTAATGGTTATTGGGGAGGGGTGCGGCATGTGGAGTGACGTCACCCGCTAATGGTTATTGGGGAGGGGTGCGGCTTGTAGAGTGACGTCATCCTCCCGGTGTGGTTATTGTGGAGGGGTGCGGCTTGTAGAGTGACGTCATCCTCCCGGTGTGGTTATTGTGGAGGGGTGCGACATGTGGAGTGACGTCACCCGCTCATGAATATTCATGAGGGGAGGGGTGCTGCATGTGGAGTTCCCGACCTTCTTGTGCATTAGTGTAAATTTCCACGTGGGCATGAATATTAATGAAGGGGGGGTGGGCCTCTTTTGCAGTGACGTCACGCACGGATGCAGCACTGTGCTGCGTAGATATATTTTTAAATCCTTTATATTAAGTTCACTTGCGTGCTTGCTTACGTGCTTGCGTTCTTGCTTGCTTGCTTAGGACCGTGCAAATCTTTCGGTCGTTTTTTAACCCACTTCCCGTGATCCAATCGAGCTGACATTTTACACACAGACTCGTTGTGTGTAACAATTAATTTTCGTGAAAAAAAAAATTCCAAAATTTTACACTTTTTAGGAAAAAAGAAATAATATTTAATTACCAATTGCTTAATGGTGGCAGGCAATCATCTGACCCATAGATGGCAGTCATCTCAAGCCAGAGGACGAGAGGACTCTCGCCGCCATGCATATAAAGGATATATAGTGAAAAACTTTGTTTTTACGGGTTATACTTGTTTACCGTCACTTTCTGTAAAGAAACGTCGTCATATTTGAAGAGACTTTTCATAATAAATAATTTAATTTACCTCGACCTTCCTCTGCGTTAGTGTAAAAATCTACCCACTCATGAATATTAATGAGGGGGGGGGGGGTGGGCCTCATGTGGAGTGACGTCACGCGGGGGGGTGGGGTGAACCTCATGTGGAGTGACGTCACGCGTGGGACGGACAGACATTTCTGGGTGATTATAGTCGGTAATAGGACCAATAAGTTAAATTCAACATTTTGTCCTGCTAATTTGATGATTCATTCAGGGCATTTAAACTGGTGTGGTAGCTTTATGTTCAATTTTCCTCATCTGAAAACTTTTTTTTTAAGGCGTTAATTATATTTGCAAGGGCGATTTGTATAAAATCCCTCCACTTGATTTACTATGCATTTGTTTGTCTCCATCATTTGGCATGGTTCCATAATTACCCTCTAAAGTCTAAACGCTATACTTTGTTTTAGCAATCGTAAAATTATGTATTTCATGCTCAATTGATTATTATTACATTTCGCTGACTTTAGCGTTGGTCTCTAGTTCTTTTCCTAATTGTTTAACGCTATTTAGAATTTTTATTTGCTGCTTAGAATCAATCTAAATGCTCCTACGTCCTGAGCTCGAGTGTCTTGATTAATTACACGCCTATAATTATCTCTTAGAAAATATCGGGGCGAACACCGACACGGACGCAACCGCACGTGCCACAACCGACAATGCAGCAGAATAAAGTCAAAACAAACACCCCAAATATTGTCAAATAAATCGATGCGCCGCGTCTGCGCCATTTGGACGAAAGCGCTCCATCGCAAACACGGCGGTGGACTTTAACACGTTATAGCTCTAAAGTGTGTCGCAATGACCTAGTTTTAAGCTTGCGCTTTGAGCGCGACACTATTCCGCTTTCGACACGGGCGCGTCGTCTCTTGGAGGAGTTTTCAATTGTTGTTGTTCTTGTTGTCGCAGCCAACACGTGTATTATGTAACGGCAAATTGCCGGATTATAAGGTCACTTGCTCAGCACCACGGGGAGGGGACAGCTTGCCTCCTGCGGAGTGAACATCAGTCCATCTGCTCCTGCATCCTCATCGCGATCCACACACACACCCCGCCAGCAAGCCATGTCAGGTACGCCTACGGTCAAGGGCTGGCTCCGTGATGTTACTTATTGAATGACCACTATTCACGTCGCATTGCGGCACCTTGAACTATTGAGTCTGTTGGGTTTGTTTGCTTGATTTTTTTTTTACCGAATTCCAAAACAATTACATGTTGAGGCCGCTGCTCTTCTTTCTAGATTTGAAGCTTTCGTGACTGCAAGGATGCATACTCTTAGTTCTTTCGGTAAAGTCACGTAGGTAAAAAATGAAATTAATAAAAATAAAATAATAAAAATCACGACGTTTCGGAGGCAACACAAGTCTCCGTCATCAGGTGGGACCGTCACAGCCAGATTTGCTGCATCAAGTGATGACGGAGACTTGTGTTGCCTCCGAAACAACGTGATTTTTATTATTTTATTTTTATTCATTTCATTTTTTACCTACGTGACTTTACCGAAAGAACTAAGAGTATGCTGCTCTTCTTGTTATTTTGTGGTTGCCGACCACTTGAGCCGGACAAACCATCACGACCGGACCGCCTTAAACACGGCTCGTCCGTGAGGCTGCACTCTGAACGCTGTGAATGATTATAATAATTATTATTATAATTATTATTATAATTATTATAAAGGTGACAACTCTGCAACCGCCACGCTTGACGGAAGAAAGGGCGCTTCCACTCGAGAAGGGACGGATGGTTAGCCCCGGAGTGAGACCACCTTCCTTCCTTACTAGACTCGAGGGTAAATGTGCCGGCCATCTGGAAATTTACCTTGAGTCCAATACCGTGGACTGTGCGTACGTTTGTTAACTTTACATCGGCAAATCAATACATTTATTCTAGATTTGAAGCTTTCGTGACTGCAAGGATGCATACTCTTTGGGTTTTTCGGTAAAGTCACGTAGGTAAGACAATTAATAAAATAAAATAAATGAAAACAACTAAATGAAATCCCGACGTTAATTGTTTTACCTACGTGACTTTACCGAAAAAAAACAAAGAGTACAATACATCCATGCGTAACCACTTCAGAATTTGTCTTGCAATATGTAATTCATTTTGTACTGAGGCTCTGCCATCCTATTAGACTTAAACATCTCAAAACCTTAATCCGCCTACGCACTGAACTGGGAGCTCTAGACTCTAGATTGCCCTTTTAGACTCTTATTACTCACACTTTACCCGAACACATGCGACACTGTAGAACAACTGGACAGCATTGCACTGGGTGGACAGGGGGAGGGGGGCAGTTAGGAGATGGAGGGGAATTTTAAGGAACTTGCCCCACTCTTGCAACTGCCGCGCCAGGAAATCGAACGGCGTTGTGCTTCATATTCCAAGCGCAACGTGCGTTTACCATCGCGCGCTTTCAGATGAGCTGCTGCGGCCGTCTGGAACGTTCTCCCGATATTAAGAAGCCTTTGCGAGCGATTGTGCACTTTTAAATCTACATTGAAAACTAATTTCTTTAGAACTGCTTTTTGTGTTAGCACAGTTGGCTACGTACGGTGCGAAAGAAGTGCATGCTATTAATACACAGCAGCGAAATCAAGTGTTCTTCACGCAAAATTATCCACTTGAACGGAAAATTGCTTTGTTTCGCTCGTTCTAAACATAACGGCGGTCTTCCACCGCAGGCTGCGAGCCACATTTACAGCAGAAGAGCATTGACTGCACAGCACGTGTCGTTGTTGTTGTTGTGAGACTCGCTTGACAGACGCGGTGCTGTTTTAAACTTTAAACTCTCCGTGTGAAGCTCGCATCTAGGCTTTGCTTTAAACGTTGGTTATCGATGATGATTATTATTTTAAAGTTCATGGTGATTAATATTTGGTGGGCGTTTTTGTTTTAAACAAATAACGTGGAAAGTACAGGACTTTTGACTTAAAACTTTCGTGACTGCAGGAATTCATATTTTTTGGTTCTTTCGGTAAAATTTCATACGTAATTTTTTTTTCTATTAAAATGAAGTGAGAAAAATAGTTAAGAAAACACTAATGTAGACTGTAGCCTGGTTCTTAATCTGAGTGAGTGTACTGGCAGTCTATAATGTAGACTACAGCATTGGTTATTAATTATATTATAGACTTCCAGTACACTCATTCAAACGTAATAACCAGGCTACAGTCTACATTATAGACTGCCAGTACACTCACTCTGATTAAGAACCAGGCTATTCACTTTCTTTTTATTTTTTCTATCTACGTGACTTTACCGAAAGAACCAAATAATTAGTACAGGGCTAACATCCAACAGGGTAAATTCTACACGCTTGACAGTTCTGACACAAGCTTTATTTTTGAGGGGGGGGGTTCCAAACAGCAAGCGACCCTTCACAGTCAACAACTCTGTTTTGCCAACTTTGTGACATAATAATTTACAATTTGTTCAGGCGCATTTCATCCGTAGATCCCAATGCGCCACCGTGTATGGAAAGCCACAATAAACATAATCTTCAGGGTACACGGCCAGAACGAAGGGGGGTCAAAGACCAGTTTAAAGAGGTGAGTTTTCAAGACAAACTTAAATATTATAACGAACGATTCTGATTATAACGAGCCTGTAAGGTGCACCGGCAAAAACCACAATCACCTCCGGGAAGGTGTTACGGCGACCTTTGGAGTTGTGTTAAATAACTGAGCCGTGTAAAATAACTCGTGAGGGTTAAGTCTTGGGGGGATGGCTCACCAGCTTGCCTTGTTTGAGTTTACAATCCGTTCGCACGCACATCGAGTAGCATTGGGCTCTGACGCTTGTGTGACACCGCGTTACAACTACGCCAAGCAAATTAGAGGCCCTCTAAAAAAATATAACAGTTTCCATGTACAATCTTAATTTGGAGCTTTCGTGACTGCAGGGATTACTCTTTGGTTCTTTCGGTAAAGTCACGTATATATAGTTTTCTGGTTAGATTTGTGTTGCTATTTCTTTTATACCTGATGATGATTGCTTGTGTTGCAATCGAAACGTCGTAGTATGCTATTATTTAATTTATTATTTTATCTTTATACGTGACTTTACCAAAAGAACCAAAGAGTAATCCATGTACAATGTCATTTCAATGAAATCTCATCTAAAGAAGAGTGATACAATTTATTTTTCAAACTACATTGGGCTTAAGTGGGGAGGGGGAGCAGGCCAGGGAAACATGGGAGAGAGGAGAGAGAGAGCAACACTGAGAGGCACAGCCCTGGACAGAGCAACTGGGGTCAGGCATCAACATTAATAACAACTCATTGGGGACCCACGGGCGGAGAGGTGGCGGAGTGGACAATTCATGTACGTGTGATGGGAGGTTAGGAGCCGTCCATAAATGACGTCACGCACCTAGGGTGGGGGGGGGTCAGACATTTGTGACGATGTGTGACGAGGGGGGGGGGGGTTGAGAAATGTGACGTCACATCAAAATGCGCAACTTTAAATAAATATAGAATTGTTATAACACTAATTGTTATAACACTCCTACAACATCAGAGTGCAACGCCACATTAAATACGCACTACAATGACAATAGTTTTAAAGCGATTTGAAGCATGTTTTATTTTCAAAATGGAAATATGGTTTTGGGTGGGGGGGCAGAGCTTTGTGACGTCATTTTTAAGGATGGGGGGTCTGACTTTCTGTGAAGCCATGTGACGAGGGGGGGGGGGGGGTCAAAAATGGTTCAAAATCGCGTGACGTCATTTATGGACAGCCCCTTACGTGGAAGATATAAAACATCATCGCAGGAAGCGTCTGGGTTTGATTCCCGTTCTTCCCCTGTTCTTGCATGGGTTTCCTCCCACTCTTTAATGAAATGTACCGTACTAGTAATGGAAGAACTCCACGACTCCAGAAAGTGGCCCCGAAGCTTGCCATAACGTATGGGACCGTGGTGATTTACAGCCAACGTTAGTTGAGCGTGGACAGTTAGACCCAAGCCGAAACATAACATATAAAAAAAGAATGTCTTAAAATGTTTTTTATTTTTTTTATGATAGAGTATGGTATTGTCATCACTATGACATAAGTATACCAAGTTTTCAGTCGATACCACATTGGAAAGTGGGTTAAAATTTTGTTACAAGATTTTAGGATACAACAACAACAACAATGACGACAACAACAATAGACAGAGTGAGTTAAATAAAAGCGTGTAAAAACATGCAACTGGATTGGTGGGGTGGCGGGGCGGTGGGGTGGTGAGTGGGGGGTGAGTAGTGGGGGGTGGGAGGGTGAGTGGGGGAGGATGTAGGGGGAGGGGAGGGTTGGGGGGAGAGTTGGGGGGAGGGGGAGGTTAGGTGGAGGGAGGGGGAAGGTGGGGGGAGGGGTCCTGCGTCCTTCACCAAAGAGCCCCCAGGGACAACTCGGACACAACCGACGAGGTCAAAAGGCAGCTCAGTTGGCAGACCTGGCTCTGGGGAGGAACGTAAGGAGACGGCTGTGGGAGTGGAGAGGTCATGGAAGGGTCACAAGGTAGCTTTCGAATATGGCCTAGGGATGGGGGGGGGGCAGATACATACAACCAGACTCACACACACATACATCGACTCACACACACATGGACTCACACACACATCGACCCACACACACAGACTGACTTACACACACACATCGACTTACACACATCGATCCACACACACACAGACTTGCACACACGCACATATCGACTTACAAATACACAGCGACGCACACACACATCGACGCACACACGCTCATCAACTCACACGCACACATGGACTTAGACACACACATTATTACTTAAATATTTATTAACTGAATTTTTTAACATTCGTTTTCCACACAAACCATTATTTTAATATTTACTAACCTAATTTTTTAATATTAGTTTTCTATGTACGTGAGTTTAGCGAAAGAAGCAAGAAAATAGTACTTAACAGTACCGTGGTGAGGCCTAGTCCCGTGCAGAGCCGCCGGCCTCGCCTAGATTGCTCCAGCCGGCCGAAGTGGCATCCTGGCAGGCCGCTACCCAGAGGTCATCAAATTCATGACTCGAGTCCAAGTCACATGACTCGAGTCCACACCTTAGAGGTGGGACAAAGTCATTGTTATGCAAGTCCAAGTCGAGTCTGAAGTCATCAAATTCATGACTCGAGTCTGACTCGAGTCCAAGTCACATGACTCGAGTCCACACCTCTGCCGCTACCCCCCCCCCATCATCCTTCCACCCGCTCTACAGTAATAGTATGTAAGCTCTATAATATTCTAGATTTGAAGCTTTCGTGACTGCAAGGATTCATATTCTTAGGTTTTTTCGGTAAAGTCACGTAGGTTAAAAAAATTTAAATTAATAAAAGTAAAATTTTTTTTATTATATTTCATTTTACTTTTATTAACTCTATAATATTAGTATCTACCGGCCCTATAGTAGTAATTGCACATATTGGGGTGGGGGGAGAAGAACTCACACTTTGAAGAATGTACCTCAGTCTTGTGTTTTTTTGTTGTATTTTTAACGCGAATGAGAATCCCCACCTCACCAAACGCGTGCGCGTCGCTAGGGGGCGCGCATGCGCAGATGCGTGCATTGGCGCAAATAATGAAAAAATAACAAAAAACTGCACTAAATTGCTAATTAAAGTACTTTAAAGGTGACGGACACGAAATCGGAATGGCGCTGGCTTTTCACGGGGCTTAGGCCATTCTACCTGGGCACTTTTTTAAATATAAACCCCACAGTTCGCGAGCCAAATCCCTCGCAAGTGTCGGCCACACACAGACAGACAGACAAAAATGCCTTTTATAGATTAGAAGATGGGGGAGCGAGAGGCAGCCGTCCACAGGACGAACAACATCGTGTTTAGGTGGCAGAGCTCGGTTGGAGTGAGAAGTTCCTCAGCGAGTGGTCGACCCTGAAGCGAGCGGCCGACTCGACTCCACCACTCTTTACACGCCAAACTTATCCAGGGAAGTGAATAATTTAGATATTTTTGGCGAAACGGTGCCCCAAAGCACCAAACATGCAACAAGGCCTTGGGCTGTGGTTGTCCTTGTTAAAATAGCTGCTGAGCTCAGTTTGGGACCTCGAATGAGGCTGTGGATATTTGGCGGTGAAATGGTCGCCAGAACGGGGATTGGTGTCGGTTTCAGTATTTTTGTTACTTTTTTTTTTAATTCTCACAGTATTGTGTTATGTGGTCGGATGCTGTTCCGTGTCGTTGTAGCTGAGGGTCTAGTTTAGAGGTATGGTGTAGGTGTGAGGTGCAGTGTTAAGTGGTGTAGTGAAATGGTGTAGTAGTGCACTGTAATGGTGTGTGGTGGTGTACTGTAGTGTATTCATTTAGTGGTTTGGCGTGGTGGTGTTGTTTAGCAATTGTAATTATTGATTTGTCGTGGGTGTGGTGAGTGTGTAGAAACAATTAGGCTGGCTGGTAAGTGTCAGGTAAGTAGTGGGTGATGTCTGAGTTTCAGGAGAGTGGTGTGCGTGGTGTCAGCAGAATAGCGTCTGGTGAGTTTCTACCAAGTGGTGAGGTGTCACGTGTGTGGTGAGGGTCAGGTGCATGACATGTGAGTGGTGTCGTGGCAGTGATGAGGTGTCTGGTGAGTGGTGTGTGGTGAGGATCAGATGTCAGGTGAGTAGTCGGTGACAGTGTCAGGTGGTGAGTAGTGGCAGGTGTCTGGTGAGTGTTGAGAGTGGCCAACAGAGGAGAGGTAGAGCCAACGGCAGAGAAACCAGTGAGATGAGAATAGAGAAGGGGACTATGGGCAAGATAACCCCGTCTGTAAAAGTGTCTGCCCTCTATTCCCTTCAGAAGCAAATATGAATTAAAAACAACATTCGTGCTTTGATGAAAATTTCACATAGATGCGCCTCTTTTACCAGTGTCACCTTCAGAGCGGAGCCAGAAGAATGAAGGATGCACCGTGGAGCTCGGTGTGGGTGGTTCCCCAGGCGATGACAGCACTGGCCTGCACGGCTCCATGCTCTCCTACCAGGGCATCATCTACTCCGTGAACGAGGGCCACGGGATCCCGTGCCGACGCAAGCACAAGACCAAGATGATCCTGCGGGACGTCAGGTGCCGCTGGGTTCTTCTTCCTATGGCTTTTCGCGTCGCAACTCGTGTCCAAGTCTGAGGGGCCAAAGGCCAGACTTGGGGAAAGATGAACGGATGTGGAAGTCACCCACCCAAGAACTCTCCAAGCTCTAGATGTAATTAGCTGCCGAGGTCTTACGAGAACGGGTGCAGCCTGGGTGATTTTGGTCTTCAGGCAAAGTGTACGTGTTGTACTGATGTGCTGTTGTCGCCTCGCTTGTCTTGTCGCACAGTGGCATCATGCTGCCCGGGATGAACGCCATCATGGGTCCCACCGGCAGCGGCAAGACCTCGTGAGTGACAAATGTCCGCTGTTGCGGAGCGCCCGAGGAAGGTTCACAAGCAACATGTGTCGGATCACTGGGTTAAACGTGTGGGTAGCATGGAAGAAAAAACACAGTGGCGTTGTTTCCATTGGAGACCTCTCTATTTGTTACTTTTTTATGGATAACCAAAAAAGTCTTGACAACCGTGATGAAGGAGGGCATATTTTTGCATAATGTTTGCTGCTCTGAAAAATCATATTGGAACTTCGATACCGATTAACGCATGCACATATATTTAAGGGAAATTGATTTATTTGCATAAGACACATGACCCCTTACTTGTGTTGAATTTTAGATGCATTCATTTGATGTCTCATTGTTGAAACATAGCCAATGAGTCCATAATAGAGGTTTTTGGTTAGATCACGTAAATATATAAATGTGTCGTTAAAACCCGCCACCACCCGACACACCAAACTAGTAAGGGTTGTCACGTAAACAGAACATGCCAATTCGTTACTGGTACAGCACACCGGTGTGTTGGAGAGCCAAGCCACAACATTTACAATCTGAGTACGACGTTTCGCCAGTAATTACAACTAGCTTCATCAGGCGACAGCCAGATTTGTGAAAAATTCTTACTGTTTCGTTCTTTATATGTGGTGACCACGCTTCTGCACTCTTGCACAGTGTGGGGGGGGGGGTGATTACTGAGGCAACGTACATTATGCATGTGCATTATGTGAGCCGTTTGAACGTGTCCTTCCTGTCTATTGTGTTTATTAAAATAGCCCTACCAACGGTAATCCCTATTGAAGTACGCTGCCCCTTGTAGGCATGCATTTAAATAATGTATTATTTGATGATTCGCTTCCACGCAGCACTAAGGCGGTAGTAGCTAGTTTTGCACAAAACTTCAACATTATCAAAATCAATTGAGTGTCCTTGCCAATGAGACTGGGCCGCATTCACACACACACACTGTCGAGACAACGGAGTTGCTAAGCAATGGGGAATTGAGTGCGCTCATCGTAAAGTCAGTAAATTTACATTCAAACTACACGGCGACAAAGCCCGACTTCAAGGCGTTTTATCTTTCATTGGTCTTTAAACCCTTTGCAATTTTGTCGCTGCACGTAGCTGTCAATCTTAGCTCACTCAACAGTAACACCTCCCTCTACGTCACCGTCATGTGCAGCGTCATGACATGAACTTGATTTAGATGCTATATAAATGCAAATTAGTTGTATTGTTCCCTTACAGAATGCATTACGTGGCAAATTTCTGAATCAATTTGTTTATTTGTTTTGGTCTCCCTAACTTTTAGTATTTTTCCCAAATTTCACCCTAATCGTTCTATTGACGTGGTGTCATGAGACGGAGCATCCATTCAGAACAGAGCAGTGCAGCCTCTCCGTATTGCAGAACGGCGCACGGAAGTGGATGTCACAACAAGCGACCTCTGATCAATGCACTCGGGGGCCCGGGGAGGGGGCAGCACTTTCTCACTCGCACTGCCATATGGTCGTTTTGTTCAATACAACATTCTTTTAGTCTCAGAACAAAAATATGGCCAAATTAAGTGCAGAATGAGATTTTTATGATGGGGTTTTTTTTTCGTGCAGTCATTTATGACTCGGCTGAGACCAACTCACTGTACTTGATATTCAAACCAAGAATCAAACCCACGATCTCCATGATGGCAGCTGAGTGACGTGACCTTATTTCTAGATTTGAAGCTTTCGTGACTGCAAGGATTCATACTCTTAGTTTTTTCGGTAAAGTCACGTAGGTACAAATAAATAATAATAAAAGAAATAATAATAAATAATAGAAAAATAATAGAATAGAAATAATAATAGAAATAAAATAATAAATCACGACGTTTCGGAGGCAACACAAGTCTCCGTCATCAGGTGGGACCGTCACAACTGAATTTACTGTATTAAGTAAACTGCATTTACTGTATTAAGTAAACTGAATTTACTGTATTAAGTAAATTCAGCTGCATATACTGTATTAAGTAAACTGAATTTACTGTATTAAGTAAATTCAGCTGTGACAGTCCCACCTGATGACGGAGACTTGTGTTGCCTCCGAAACGTCGTGATTTATTATTTTATTTCTATTATTATTTCTATAATTTTTTGTATTTATTTTTTGATTATTTATTTTTACCTACGTGACTTTACCGAAAAAAACCTAAGAGTATGACGTGACCTTATTACGCTCACTCACACTATTATTGTTGTTGATTATCTGCACGTGAATGAGGCCCTTTGTAATCCCATGCGCAGCTTGCTGGACGTGCTGGCGGGGAGGAAGGACCCCAAGGGGCTGAAGGGTGGCACGGTGCTGCTGGACGGAAACCCCATGGACTCGGGCTTCCGCCTCATCTCAGGATACGTCGTGCAGGTGACGGCCGGCAAAGGTGGCGTGGTGCGAGCGCCACGAGGTGGTGGGGCAGGGCGGGGTGGGGTGGGGTGGGGGAGAGGTGGGAGGGAGGCAAGGAATGATCGTATCTATAACAATTTCATGAAGCCTGTTTTCGCCAGGTAAAAGTTCTGAATAAATATAATAATGCACCTCATGTGATTATTTACGAAGTATGTTTTATCTACGATCAGACGCTCACAACTCAAAAAAACATGTATTTCCGCCCCCCCCCCCCAAAAAAACAAACATGGTTGACGACTTGATTCAACTTCTTATATTTAAAGATCTACCCATCGGAAACCGCTCAATTTTAAGATTCTGTAATTATTTTTTATTATAAAGAACAAAATTTAATTAACTTAATACTCTGAGGGGAAGCTCCTATCTTTTAATAATTCAGATTTGTACATCATAAAATGTGTATTTTTTCGTTCAAAACCACTTTAATCTGAAATTTCTCAAAAACAATAAAAGATCGAACAATGGTAATCGCTTTCATTTTATTTGCTGTTTAATGTTATACCAAACGAAAAAAACGCAATCTTATATTTTGAACGGCTTCTGAATGACACCAGGCACAAACATGTTTATTGGGCACTTAAAATCTCAGACTTTCTGAATTCTCCTGTTGTTTGTGTCCTAAAAGCTACCTGTGTACTAAATTTCAGCTTTCTACCTTGTCGGGAAGTACCCTGGAGGTTTTTGAGACGTACATGCAGATGAAGGTTTTTATTTATATAGATAAGACGATGTTTTGCCCAACATTTCACCATACTTCACGTCGCTGTCAGGGCGATTTGCTAAAGTAGAAGCCACCGATGGAAAACATATGTAAATAAATATATAAAATAAATATAGAATACACAATGCATACCTGTCAACACTTTATCAATTCCTACATTATTGCAGACCAATTCAGACCTTATTGGTCACCCCGTGCCCTTATAAATCTCAACGCTCATCCTACAAAGTCCCATCACAAGGGAGAAACACAAACAAATAGACAAAAATATGATTTAGTTTCTGGCCGTATTGAAACGGTTGTACGCTGTATGGACCTGAAAACTGAATTTCCCGATACAATAATTATGGGTTGACGTGTGTGACAATGTTTTGACCAATGGCCGTTATTCATAGTAAAGATATATCTCTGCTTTCAGGCAATAGACCTTCGTGGCTAAAAGCGTGGTGCAGTACTGTCAATAAGTGCTCGCTAATAGCTTAGGGTGGGAACGCACTCAAGGGTACGTGCACTGGAGAAATGGGAGCGATGAAATCGGCTCGCGTGCACTTGCTACGTGGATTTTTACATTGTAGTACAGTGACGGATGGCGATGACTTAGAGAGGCCTTTATTTAGCAGCGGCTTTATCATGGCTGATATTATAACGATGGTGACGAAAACGGTTAAGCCTGCAGCACTAAAGTGGAGTCATGTTTGTCTTCGTTTCGCGTGCGTGAGCACAGGACGATGTCATCATGGGCACCCTCTCTGTGCGGGAAAACATCGAGTTCTCGGCAAACCTACGGCTGGCGCAGCAGGGCGCTAAGAGAAGTGACTGGGAGCAAGAGAAGCAGCAGCGAGTGGACAATGTCATCCGGGAGCTGGGTCTCACTGAGTGTCAGAACACCAAGGTTGTTTTTTTTCCACTTCAGTACGTGACCATGCCACTGACTTCACGTGCAGTGAACGAGTAGAGACACGCGTGTAGTTGACACAGTGACGCTGTGCCCTAACAGTGTAATGACTGACGTCACATGCAATGAGCGTTGATTATAATATTGATATTCTTGGTTCTTTCGGTAAAGTCACGTAGAAGGGAAATAATAAAATAAAAAATATATAAAATTATTTATATATATAATATAGATATAAAACAAAAAAATACATAAAATAATTTTATATATATAAAATAATTTTATATATTTTTTATTTTATTGTTTCCCTTCTACGTGACTTTACCGAAAGAACCAAGAATATGAATCCCTGCAGTCACGAAAGCTTTAAATCAAAATATAATATTGATGTTCACCAGTATGGAGCGATTGAGGCTGACGACGGTGATCTTGGCTAATAAACAATCGTGAATAATTAACGCGACTTGGTAGGCGACTGTGCCAATGGTGATTACTTTGGTGCGGATCAGGATACAACAGATGATTACGATAATAATGATCATAATAATAATGTTGAGAATGATAATGCTAACCGTGATGATGATCATATTAATTATGACTAACCGTGATGATATTACACATGATAAAGGTTAAATGACAGTACAATTGACCATGATGATGATGATGCAGTTGACTGTGATGGTCAGGATGAATATGTCGTCGATGATGATGATGATAATGACCTGATGAAATATACTGCGATGATGATGATGGTGACAATGATGACCATGTTGTTGGCTCACCCGCTCTACACCAGGTGGGCACAGACATGATTCGCGGCGTATCAGGTGGTGAGAGAAAGCGCTGCAACATCGGCATGGAGCTCATCACCAGCCCGTCCGTGCTGTTTCTGGATGAGCCCACTACGGGTCTGGATGCCAACACAGCCACCGCCATCATCAGATTGCTCTACAGGTAGTACCCCCTACTCCTTGTGATAATAATAATATGGCCAATGTTCATTCACAAAAACCTAACTGATTATCGAGGTTCATATTTTAGGAGGATCCTTGCATTGAGATGTGTGGACAATTCCATTGACGAGTGTTCGGCATGCGCGAGAAAACTGGAGGAAGCCAATGCATAGGAGAGAATAAGACTCAAAGTTCCACACAGATGGATTCAGTTCATTTGGTGAACTGCCATCTCTTGGCCACCTAAATTTTGTTTGATTCACCAAGCCCTCTGGATTAGGCATGTGCCTCTACATTGATCTCACCCTGATGGGCTCTCAGTATGCATTAAGTGCAATAGCAAAGGCACAATCAGCACCTGGCTTAAGTCTATCAACCACCCACGTGTCCCACGCTACCAGCATTTGCAGCTCAACCCAGAGGAAACGACGCTGCTCACCGGCCCGCGAAGAATCCTCGCGCAACTTGGTGCCGACGGCCACTCCACTCTTCTCGAGCACTACTCCACCGCATCGGCATCTCACGCTCGCTGCCGTGCTTGAGATGCCGGCAAAGCGAGGATGCTCTGTGGCACTGCTGACCCAGAATGGCCGACAGACAGGCGTCTTCGTCGAAAGCACTTGGGAGAAATGTCTTCGCTCGAGATGCTGTGGACACATACCAAGAATGATGACGTCACCCCGCTGCTGCTCTATTTAAGACCGGGAGCAACAGGAGAGCTTCACCATTCTTGCCCGATGAAGCTGATTGTAATTACCAGCGAAACGTCGTACTCAAATTTAAAAATGCTGTTTATTCTCTCTTCAACACACCGGTGGGCTAAGGAAGTGAATTATTTTGTCCTTTGAAAAAACGTGACACATTTTTTACTGTTTGGCCGTGTCGGGTGGTGGAGGGTTACGACACATTTATAAATAACGCGATCTGACCCAAAAACCTATATTATGAATAATATTGGTCGCGAAAGCCTACGTGTTAAACTGACATCCTAAGAATCTTGCGGACCTCTTAACCCTTTCCCATTCAGTTTTTCTTCTGATTACATTCCGAAGACCCACGTGTATGTACGTGTATGTCATCGCAAAGGAATAGGAAGAAAAAATAAAATAACTTTTAACGGTACATTTTCAGGTCAGAAGCCGTACTGAAGCTCCCACAAGGCCATGCGGGAGGGCGTTGCACAGTTTGGCGCCTGCTATCATAGAGTGCGGCAGGGCCGCTACAGCAACAGGTCCAAGAGTGCAAACTATTGGGAAAGAAGAAAGTTAAACAACAATACAGTAAAAATATGACATAACACGTGCATAATTCAGAATCAGAATAAGTATTTATACTGGGGGAATCCAATGAGCTATAGAGAGCTCTTTTTCACAAATGTCCAGTCGGGGCAGGTCAGAACATTTCCACAACAAACAATACAAAAACACGATAGGAGTGCAAAGTATAGGAAAAGGAAAACAAATAACTTAAATTTCGATTTAAAGCTTTCGTGACTGCAGGGATTCATCTTCTTGGTTCTTTCGGTAAAGTCACGTAGAAGGGAAGTAATAAAATAATAAAAATAAAACATAATAAAACAATTCTCACGACGTTTCGGCCACAACGCAAGCAGCCGTCCTCAGGTGAAAACCAGGTCCGTCGAGGCGACAGAGTCTGAATGAAACAGCACACGGGCTTAGAGCATATATATAAGCTGGGCGCATTGACAAATGAATTTGCATATCAACAGCAATTTAGCATATTTATGGGAAATGCAGGAATGTAATTAGTACTGCATATGCATGTGCATTATGCAGGATTAACAGCATCAAAGGGAGCTGCAGTAACTGCAGCTCCCTACGTGACTTTACCGAAAGAACCAAGAAGAAAAAAACAAATAACTTATAAAATATACAAATGACACTTAACTATTTTTATCTTACCAGGTAAAGCCCACTGAACTATTAGCTTTATCAGAAGCAACCTGGCCACAAATAATAGCTCAAAGAAGTGGCATAGCATGAAGAAATGTATAGCAGCCAAATCTAAATAATCTAAATGCAACATCCACGTGTGAACAAAAACAACACAAGGGCTAAGCAAATTAACTAATTCAACATTGGCTAAATCAGCACCTTAAACTCCTGTATACATTAAACAGACTTTATAATGAAGTGCAATGACAAAATAGAGATCCAATTTAAAGAAGAAGAGGTACGGCCGGCCCAGAAGTCCTGGACCCAGTTACTAGCAGATGTTTGGGATCTATCCTTGAGTCTGAGCCCAGTTTTGCAACAGACTTAATGCAGCGTTGTTCGTCCAAACAGCTCACTCTGTGTGCGATCGGTTGCGGCGCAATCGTCATGGACTGGACCCATGAGAGTGCAATAACACATTTTCAGACTTACCAAGAGATGGGCACAACAGTGATGGATTCTTGAATCTTGTACAGGATACGCACCGTTGTCCCTTTGTATGATGCCTATGCTTTCTCCAGGCACCCTACTGCAGTTTCCTCCCACTTGTCACACACTCATTCATGGAATCGGGCCGCATAACCCAATGTAGGAACTATCTGAAAAAGAGTACAGTAGAACCTCTGGTCACGACCATAATTTGTTCCATAACTTTGGTCGCAACCCGATTTGGTCGTGACTCGAACCTAATTTCCCCATTGGATTGGATGTAAATACGATTAATCCGTTCCAGACTCCTACGAACTGTATATAAATATATTTTATTTTTAAGCACAAAAATAATTAATTATGCCATAGAACTCACAGTGTAATAGTAAACTAAATGTAAAAACATTGAATAACACTGAGAAAACCTTGAACAACAGAGAAAACTAACATTGCCGCGTCAAAGTTTAGAATCATTCAACAAGATGATTGTTTCGTCTGCTACATCAGTCGATCGATTCTGAGAGAGAGAGAATATTCGTATGAGCAATTCATGTTTCTATTGAAAGTAAGTTAACAATAATATTTGGGTACAGTATTGTTTTTGGAAGCATTCACCGTAATATTGTATAAACGTTTACTTCACCGCATCATCGTATGAATGATGCGAGAAGAGATAAACGGGTTCTTATGTTAGCGATTTACGTACTCAGCGTTTTCACTCTCTAAATTACGACTTGAATGAGGGAAGAGGGGTATGATTACACTCACAAAATTAATATCTTACTAGGAATTTTATGGGTCGCTGTTGTTTGTAAACAACAGGAAATTTGGCGCTTACAAAAAAAAATGGCGCGGAAGGGGAAATCGGCCGCGACCGTGTTTGATCGCCACCCGAGTTTGTGTTCGTGATCAGATTCAAAAATTTTGTGAATTCTTTTGGTCGGAACTCGATCTGGTCGTGGTCAAAAGCGTTCGTGACCAGAGGTTCTACTATATTGAGGCCACGTGAGGATTTCCAGTTTAAAGCCACGTGAGCACTTATCGTAATTACACGAGTATTGTGACCTTGGCTAGACTGATTGTAATCAGAGAACCCAAACAGCAAAGTCGTCTCTTCATGTCCTCAGATTATATTCGTTTATAAACAACCCAGTCAACTTTGCCACTTCACATTTGTCCTTTTACCCACAGGCTGTCCCGCAATGGACGCACTGTCATATTCTCCATCCACCAGCCGCGCTACTCCATCTTCCAGAACTTTGACCGGCTCACGCTGATGCACCACGGGGAGGTCGTGTTTCACGGACCCTCCCTTGACGCCGTGCCTTACTTCTCTTCCATCGGTACCAACTGCGGTCGCCACGCATGCATTTTTTCGCAACGCGATACGCTCGGCACCACCAAGGTCCAATGATGGCCTTTGTGGCGTTCGCAAGAACTGCTGAAGACGGAGCTCCCATGGCTTGGGATAGTCCATCTCGCAGCCATCCCTCGGATCTAGGAAGGCTCGGAACAAATGATACGATGTTCAATTGAACAATATTGCGATTGCAATATTGTTCAATTTGTCGTGCTGTTTTTAGTGCTTTGCTGCACTCTTCAACAGCTGTGGCCAGGATATATAATGCGATGCCCAAACCACTGTGCCACTGCTCTTCCCCATATAATACTATGCAGTTACAAGGCCATAAATGTGGGGTTGTACACAACTCATTATATAATGTCAGTGTAATATGGGTGATACAATGCAAACATGTATAGACATATGAGCATTCTTTTTTTCAGCACCATCTATTTTAAGCAGGTAAACATTTATCCATTTGCCAATTGGCTGGTATATCAAAGTATTTGAATATTTGTCTGTTGGTTAATTATTTCCTTACTGCAGTCACGAGTCAAAGTGAAAATCAAAGCAGGTCTCCCTGCTCAACTACGCTTGGGATGGGGCTCAGTGTATCGGCAGCCCTCAACCAGTGGTGGTCTTTCCTATGGCAGGGAACTGTTGCTCCGAAGGATAACCCAATTTTTTTTACTTGCGTAGATGAATAATCCACTGAGTTTTCCCATTTGAACTTGCGTCCTTACGATCGTACGTGAAATTCTGCAATCGCAGTGCCGCACATTCTGCCCTTTTATATTGCCAGGTGTATCACACAACAATCTTGTCCTCACAAGAGGACTCATTTTAGCTTATCTTGTCCGTATCATTCTCCAATGAGTTCAAATGCACAGGAGGCCTCATATTTTTTTTATGTTTTAATGAATTCTTCGTAGCAACCGCTGTTCCTCCCGATCTCCAACACCCTGTCTCTATGCTCCAAACTCTGTCTCCACACCCCCCGCAGGCTACGAGTGCGAGGCGTTTAACAACCCGCCTGATTTCTTCCTGGACGTGATTAACGGGGAAATTCTCCTTTCGGGGCATCACGGCATTGGAAGCGGTGGTCGCACAGCGAAATCAGTCGGTGAGTTCTACACGTGATCACCGACAGGAAAACACGAGATCACGGGCACGAGCAAAGGCCTGTGTGCTCACAGCCAGGCCCGTGTTTCACATGGAGCACCAGAGGCATAAAGCTACCAAATGTCTCCGTTTGGCTGATACAGTCCAGGTTTCAGAAAAGCTGTCCCGGTGTCCTGAGGCACTTGCAAAAGATCGGGATTTTGTCCTAGTTTTAACATTTCTGGCCTCTTACTCGATTCATAATATGGACAAAGAGGTTAGCAAAGGAGTAGAGGGCCCCATGAGCTGTACGAGGGCCTCTTAGCAGTAGGTGGGGACAACGTCAGAGAGAGTGAGGTCACTCACAATGAGCGGGGCTAGTGATTGAGTGGGTGTGGATACATAAAGTGGGCAGGTCTGCCCTCTCACCGTGTGTCTTGGTTGAGCCTCCCTGACATTTGATAGATGTTTTGTTGTTGTTGTTAATGTGTCAGTGCCAAGCTAGCATGTATATCGTGACAATGTTCATAAGCACAACAATCCCAGGATATCTGCCAGTTGTGAATCAGGAGCTGTCAAGCTACCACCTTGGTCTGTGTCAAATCAATTGTGACTCAACAGGCCCAGTAAGGAAATTTAATTTTTCTCACAACAAACACGTTGCCTTGCCAGGACATCCACGTTCTAGTTTTTTTGTAATGTGCACACATCTTAATATATGTAGATATTCAAAATGTGTGCATGTTGAACTTCTTTCGCACCGTACGTAGCCAACCGTGATAATCGGAGGTGTGCGGAGGAAGGACAACAAACAAAAACGCAACAAGCAGTTCGAAAGAAATGAGTTTTCAATTTAGAAAATTGAAAAGCAATCATTAATTCGTACTTTTAAATATGTACATCAACATCTGGAGCTTGAGGAAGAGAGGCCTAATGAAGTGGTTCCGTGACATCATAGTGCAGGGATATTCGATGACTTCATGTGATGCTGCGCTCAATGTCGAAGCTCTGTGAGCACGTTTCTGCACCTCCCGACATGACTCTGGCAGAGCATCTTCTTGGTTCTTTCGGTAAAGTCACGTAGAATGGAAATAATAAAATAATAAACATAAAACATTATAAAATAATTCTCACGACGTTTACTAATCTAATCCCATATCTGCATTTCCCATAAATATGCTAAATTCCTCTTGATATGCAAATTATTTTGTCAAGGCGCTCTTCCCCCTCCAACCCAGCTTAAATAGAAGCTCCAAGCCTGGGGTGTTTCATTCAGACTCTGTCTTCTCGACAGCCCTGTTCTTCATCTGAGGACGGCTGCTTGCGTTGTGGCCGAAACGTCGTGAGAATTATTTTATTATGTTTTATTTTTATTATTTTATTATTTCCATTCTACATGACTTTACCGAAAGAACCAAGAAGATGAATCCCTGCAGTCACGAAAGCTTTAAATCGAAATCTGGCAGAGCAGTTTGGGATTTGCAACTGCTGCATAAAGAATCATAAAGATAACGATTTTTTTTTCGATTTCAAGCTTTCGTCACTGCAGGGATTCATACTCTTGGTTGTTTCAGTAAAGTCACGTAGAAGGGAAATAATAAAATAATAAAAATTAAACATAATACAATTCTCACGACGTTTCGGCCACAACGCAAGCAGCCGTTGTGGCCGAAACGTCGTGAGAATTTTATTGTTTTATTTTTATTTTACTTTTATTTCCCTTCTACGTGACTTTACCGAAAGAACCAAGAATATGAACAGAGGAATGCTTTGTTTCTTGCAGGAAAGCAGCGCAATGGGAGCTGCAATGATGATGATGATGTCGAACGTGGGGGTGATAGTATGGAGAAAGGCGGCGGTCTGGAGCTGGCACAAGCCTACAAGTCGTGCCACCACTGGGCTGACACCCAGCGCCGACTGGAGGGCATCGGGAACGTGGCGGCCGTGCCAGTCGTCATACGTAGCCACTACGCCACACGCTTCCACTACCAGGTGTGCGACAGCCACCAGGGAAACGGCGGTCGTGATGGTGGTGATGATGACGCAGATGTTGCTTCCACTACTGTTGATAACACTGGTCAACAAAAAAAAAAAATTCTGGCCTGGACTTTTGCAGCTGTATTAGACTAATTTCAGGGTGCTGATTCCAACTCTGATCTCAGATTAGCTCTATCACATCAATTTTATGCTATCGGCATACCCCATTTTCATTGATTTTACCCGAAATTAACTCTGTCACTTATGATTGCAAGTTGTTGCGAGTCAGTGACTGCTTTAGTGTTAAAATATGGTGCTGTATTTTTAGGATAGTGTGTTTATAATATCATTTTATGTATATATCCACATTAATTTAATATTTTTCTTCTGCAGTTTCTATTGAAAATGCAATATTTGATATCTCAAAAACCTGATGTGATAGACCAAATACCTTATGCCAGAAAAAGTGTGTTGACCAGTGTAATCCAGATGTTGATGGTGCCTCGATACTGTTGCTGCTGCTGATGATGATCGTGACCGTGATTATGTTTATGTGGCTGCTATGGATGATGATTGTGATTCTTCTAACGCTTATAGAGATGAGAACGGCGATGATGGTGATACTTATGCTGCTGATGTAGATGCTACTTGTGATGCTGCTACTGTTGATGATGGAGTGAATAATGATGCACTGATGCGGCTGCTGCTGGTGATAACGATTTTAGCCCTGACACTTGCTGATGATGATGATTTTCATCATCAAGACTGGGCAAATGTCACCCTGCCCAGGACTGCCGTCGGCTCTTATTCACACACCGCAGCTGTTAGAGAATGGTAGAGAACACTTTCTGCGGAGTTTGCATGGCTGGCAATGATTACACTAGTTTACACGAGTTCTCCGTGATCTGCATCAGTTGCCGCCAGTGGTTTTACATCACCTGAATCAAGATTAGGAAGGTCTTATAAAAGCAATTGTTCCAATGCGGAATCTGGGATCATTTGAATCGGCATCATTCTGGATTCCTGAGCGTATTCTTCATCTTGTATAACGTATGCAAGGTGTATTGAGGCCGATAGCAAGGTGAAAATGGCAAAATATTATCATGGTGATTATTTCGTGGTGGGAATAAACTAAACTATTTAAAACTAAACTATTAACTTTTTTTATTTACCAGATAAGGCCCACTGAGCAATAGAGCTCTTTTTCAGAAGTGACCTGGCCCCAAATGATAGCTCAACGAAGTGGCTTATCACGTGGACATTTATAGCAGCCAAATACTCTAAACGCACGTTTCAAAATGTGGAGGGAAAAACCGGAGGACTCGGAGAAAAATCCACACAACCACGGGGAGAACATACAAACTCCAAATATACAGGCGTCAGGGTCGGGATCGAACCCACGACCTCCTGTATACCAGACGAGGTAGTTAACATCTCACCACCGTGAGAAAGATTGTGTTGGTTGTGACTATATTCCATGGTGTCTCCCTGCTCAAATGAATACTTGGTGGTGATGATCTCCAAGCTAAAAGTGAATAGGATAACCATTTTTGAAGATATTGATTGCTACATAATCTAAACTTTTGTCTTTATTGCTGGCAGCAAAGATTACACATTGCTTGTTTGGCGTGTAAGGATTGTCTTTCAGCTCAGTGCAAAATCTCAACACATTCGTCAATAGCACTGACTTAAAAGCAAATGCATTTCATAGGCAACACTTTGGGCATTGGCCCTTCTTCATGACACATCAGTTCAGTACAGAGTTATCGATTTCCAACGTTAATTCAGGAAGTAGAAACTGGTTAAAATCATTATCATTGAGAATAGGTTTTCCCCTTTTTTCTGGCAACAAAACAGGTGTTAAGATGTTAAAACACCAAACTGAAACCTTTTACAAGGAATCATGTCTGCGTTAACCACAATACTTGTGGTCAGAATGCTGTATGCCTTTTGGCGTCCTCTGGTCTAACACCGTTTGAGACTAGGCTCGAAAAAAAGCTGTCTCTGGTGTGGACCAATCAGTTTCAAAGACAATGCATAAATTATCAGAGTATGTTTTTTGTTTGCATTGTGGTTAATGCAGACATGATTCCTTGTAAAAGGTTTCAGTTTGGTGTTTTAACATCTCAACACCTGTTTTGTTGCCAGAAAAAAGGGGAAAACCTATTCTCATATTTTAGTACTGGCAAAGGAGGTCCCATGATTTAGAGCATCATCATTGCAGCATTAATTATAAATTATCAGCAGCGGACCATGCTTTCCCACCCGATGACGGACGTTTGCGTTGCGCCCGAAACGTCGTAATTTATTTTATTTTCTACCTACGTGACTTTACCGAAAGAACCAAAGAGTATGGATTCATGCAGTCACGAAAGCTTCAAACCAAGATTAATTATGAAGTCGCTGAATGACATCTTGACATTGAAACAAATTCCTCTCTTGGCACTTGACACAATTTCCTACAGTGCCTCGATATGCCATCACGTATAGACGTGTCATAAACACAAATTTGATTGCATTTCTATGGAACTTATCAATTGTGCACATTCATCCGAATGTTGCCACATCACCGGCACTCAACGACCTACTCTTGCTAGCAACGCCACGGGACTCTTTTAGTCGGCGTGAATCGGCAAGTGAGCACATCTCTCTTTTGACACCTGTGCTGCCGGGGTGCATTATCAATGGGTGAGAGTCGATTTACAATCGTGGGTCTATGGACTCGGAAGCGAGGTTGCTGACCGAGAATATATGTATGTAGAACTTCTTTCGCACCGTACGTAGTCAACCATGCTCATCAGAGGTGCGGGGGAAGGACAGCAAACTAAAGACAAAAAGCAGTTTTAAAGAAATGAGTTTTCAATCTCGATTTAAAAGTGCATAGCTCCAGTAATTTCCTAATATCGGAAGGAAGAGCATTCCAGACGGCTGCAGAAGCGCATCTGAAAGTGTGCAATGCAGTTAAATTTCGATTTAAAGCTTTCGTGACTGCAGGGATTCATCTTCTTGGTTCTTTCTTCACCCGAGGATGGCTGCTTGCGTTGTGGCCGAAACGTCGTGAGAATTATTTTATTATGTTTTATTTTTATTATTTTATTATTTCCCTTCTACGTGACTTGACCGAAAGAACCAAGAAGATGTGCAATGCAGTCTTTTGTTCGATGGTTTATGCTCCTTGACGAGATTCATTTGAAGCAAGCACTTCGTGTGTAATGATGGCAAGTAGCCCGCAGGGCTGCCGAGGCATGGGCTAGAGTGAGAGGTGAGAGTCTGCTTGCTCCCCGTGTGCCCAGCTGTACATCGTGTGTGGACGGACCGTGAAGAACATGCTGAGGAATCCGCAGACCTCGTTCATGCAGTACTTCATCAACACCCTCTTCGCAGTCCTCGTGGGCCTCATCTACTGGCAGATATCGGACGAACCTCCAGCCGCCATCCAGAACAGGTGGGTGTCTTACAGCCAAGCCGAAGTCTCAACGACGCATCTCCCCCCTACCCCTCCCAACGTCGTCAACCGTGATCAATCCACTGCTGGACGAAGGACCGCCCAAGCCGTCATCAGATATCGCAGTGTTGGTCATAATAATGGTGGTGGTAGAATTGACGTTATTGATGATGTTGATGCTGGTGGAATTGTATGTGCAGGATGGGAGTGTTTTTCTTCCTCATCATCAACCTGGTGTTTGCGAACCTGTCGGCCGTGGAGCTCTTCCTCTATGAGCGGGTCCTCTTCATGTGAGTTTCACACCAACAACCCCTGCAGTCCCCACTCCACTCCCCACCTCCTTTTTTGGAGGAACATTTCCCTTACCGATCGCCAGATAGGACATTTAAATACCTTGGGCAGGATCACACTTTGACACACATGCCTCAAGGGGGCCTCGCAGTCACAGAAGTGACTGTACACATTAAAATAAGTGTTTCTAGTTACCGAATCAAGGTTGGGAGGGTCTTATAAAGCAATTGTTCCAATGCGGAATCTGAGATCCTTTGAGTCGGCACCACTCTGGAGTCCTGAGGTCCTTTGAACCTGGTCAGTATGGTCAAGGCACTGCTTGCAGTGGTGGAAAAATATCGTTCGCAAGGGCCGTTTTTGAGAGGCAGCCCTCATGTGGCCACGTGCCGTTTGAAATGAAGTCACGGGCCGTGTTCGGCACGTGGGCAATGGAGTTGCCTCCCCTTGAGTAGACACCGAGCTGGGTTACGTGGAGGCAACTGCCATGTCTGGGTATCACTTGCTTCGAAATGTTAACGTTCGACCAGCACGAGTTCCCCCGCTGAGTGGCACGGTTGGCTACGTACGGTGCCAAAGAAGTTCAACACAGGTACGTACAAGTACTGTGTGCGAGGGGGGCGGGGACTGGACGATCGTGGCTTACGTTGAGGGTACTTCCTCCGCAGGCACGAGAGCTCGAGTGGGTATTACCGCACCTCGGCGTACTTCCTCTCCAAGGTGTTTGCCGACCTGCTGCCCAACCGCATTGTGCCCATCGTCATCTTCGCCGCAATCTCTTACTTCATGATCGGTAAATGACGTCTTTATCGTCATGCATGGTGGAGAGCGTCCTCATGAGAGGTTGGTTTTTCAGCCGTGGGAATGTGACATGTATTTTTAACCACTGGCTCGAGACTTGTTGGAGGGGAATGATCGCTTTTTAAATATTGATCTGGATTTGCATTGAGTAGAAACTCAAAAATCAGGAAAATACAGAACATCACCAGGACAAAAAAAATTGGAGTGGGTGGAAATAGAAAGGATTAAAAATGAGGAGCGAATGAACGACATCAAAGTCACTGGGGGCAGAACGACAGCACGCGTGCGGGAGCGTGGCAGCTACGCTCACCTGCGCATCAGCAGAGTCCCCCATGGAATGTCTAAGAACACGGCACAGCAGAGGTGGCTGGCCCAGTCTGCTGTCCAGAAATCCCAACCAGTCACCACCATCCATCCCCACCAACTGCCAACCCAGGCTGAAGCGGTGTCGTAGCGGCCAAACCACAATGAGAGTTACCCCGCTGCAATGCAACAGCAGTTGCAGCAAGGCCCCGTGGGAGACTCCATGATGCAATGCGTCACCAACGAAGTGGTGCATTGCGTGTGGCGATTCCCACACTGCCAGGTGAGGCCCCGGGATGTCACCCAGTTATACAACTAAACTATTTTTATTTTACCAGGTAAGGCCCACGTGAGCTGTATAGCTCTTTTTCAGAAGCGGCCTGGCTATCAAAAATGACAGCTAAACGAAGTGGATTATCATCACGTGGAAATTTATCGCAGCCAAATACTCCGGCAAGCGCATGTTGATTCTAAATGTGGAGGGAAAAACCGGAGGACCTGGATAAAAATCCACGTGACCATGGGGAGAACATGCAATCTCCAAATATGCAGGTGTCGGGGTCGGGATCGAACTCACGACCTCCTGTATACCTGGCGATGTAGTTAGTGGGGGTAGTGGGAGGGGAAATGCCAGGAGTGCACGATAAGGTGGATAACTAAGCAGGCCCAAATGTAGGCGTGAATACATGTTTTTGTATCTGAATACGAAGTAAAATAATACAAATGGGAAGGTAAAAGCAGGGAAAGCATTAGTAATGAAAATTGCACTGTCTGCAAACCAAGACCGAGCAGAGAAACACAGGGAGAGAAAATCAGGCATGTCCACGACAGAGGGACAGCCTGATGATTATGGGGTCTGTGCTCACTTCTGTACAAATACCGACACGACTCAACGTCTGACACCGCGATGACGATGACGGTAATGGGAATTTCTTCTTTTAAATGATGGTGCTTCTACTGATGATGATAATGATGATGACATAGCGCTGGTCACCTCCATATAAACATTGTTCAAGATGGCTGTATATTGATAGTGATTCATGATAGTGTTATTAATTATGGTCTTGGTGGTAATTATTGTTGCTGATGATGTTGACGATTCTACTATTGTGATTTAAAGCTTTCGTGACTGCAGGGATTCATATTCTTGGTTCTTTTGGTAAAGTCACGTAGAAGGGAAATAATAAAGTAATAAATTGTTGTTATTTTATTATAATAAAGTAATAAATTGTTATTATTTTATTATTTCCTTTCTACGTGACTTTACCAATAGAACCAAGAATATGATTTTACTATTGCTACTGCTATTGCTACTGCAGACAATCACGACCATGATATTGCCGCTGTTGATGATTTTGTTGATTCTAATACTGCTGCTGCTGATGATGATGTTGACGATCCTACTCTTGCTCCTGCTGCTGCTGCTGATCATGCTGCTGCCGTTGATGTTGTTGATCCTAATGCTGCTGCTGCTGATGATGTTGACGATCCTACTGTTGCTGTAGCTGCTGCTGCTGATCATGCTGCTGCCGTTGATGTTGTTGATCCTAATGCTGCTGCTGATGATGATGACGATCCTGTTGCTGTAGCTGCTGCTGCTGCTGATCATGCTGCTGCCGTTGATGTTGTTGATCCTAATGCTGCTGCTGCTACTGATGATGACGGCGATTGCATTGGCGGTGACGACGCCGGTGACGATGACGATGCAGCGCCACGTGCCCGCGTTCACCGGTGCCGTTGCACGCTCGGCAGGGCTGCGGCTGGACGTGGTGGCGTTCTTCCTCTTTGCGCTCACGCTCGTGCTCACGAGCCTGGCGGCAGTGAGCCTCGCCTTCCTCGTGTCGGCCAGCGTCAGCATCTTCGCCGTCGCCAACGCCCTCATCGCCATCCCCTACGTCTTCATGATGGTTAGGCGTAGCCACGAGGGCACTCCCACCCCCTGTGTGCATTGTGGAGTCCTCATTTTACACGTTGGCTTTCATGACCGATGTTTCTGTTGGGTTAGGATGGCGTAAAAAAATGTGTTGTGTCGTCAACATTCCTCCACCAGACACGGCCGATTTAATAAAAGTATTACTGCTTCAGCAGCACCACTGGTGTTGTTGTTGTTGGACAGCCCCTCCGATTAGCACGGTCCCGCACCTCTGATTAGCACGGTTGGCTACGTATGATATGAACACACAGAGCGATCCACGCAACATTTACATGCGTTCAGCGTTTCATTGGAGATGAAATTCAGCATTTTCAAGTTTAAAGGAGCTCGGATCTCAAGCTCTGAGATCTCAAGATCTGAGCTCCAGTAAATCTGCAGCGAAACGTCGTACCCAATTCGATGTTGTGAGATTATTCTCCAACACACCGTTGGCGCTGCTGAAGCAGGGATATAATTTAGGGCACGTTTGATTCACGTGACACTTGTATTAATCGGCTGTCGGGTGGAGGAAGATGACAACACGTTTGTACACGTCCTAAACCAACAGAAACCAGTCGGCCGTTCCACGCAATAGGCAATCTCATCTTCACAATTTCAAAATCAACATTGATAATACACAGGGTGCCATTTTGAAGGTAGCAGTCTATACGTTTTGAAAACGTGTTTTTTGGAATAAGTTAATGGTTTGACACGTGCGCAAAAAATGTAATGCACCATCGTCATCCCAGCATGGATCAAAGAGTCAGTGCGCCCTAGTTTCCACACGGTGGCGAGAACGTCACCGTTTTCTTCCTTCTCATCTGGAGGGCACATTGGCAGAAGGCGCCCTCTACTCTCACTTCTCCACTCAGCACCCATCGCTTGAGCCGAGCGTGCGTCCCCGATTCGTCCACCGTTTCACATCATCTCACCGTGCCTTTGGTCCTCTTCTTCTTCTTTCGTATGGCCGATTTAACGATGCAATGCCCGATCCACAAGCACGAAGGAAAACCTCACAGCGATACACTCCCGCTGCTCCTGATGCGGTTATCTGGCTTGACCACCTGAATGTGACATTTTTGTTTGCTGCTCTGCATCTGACATCAGTCGTACCTTCGATCATAATCGGCGTCAAACCACCGGCACCCCATTTGCCCAATCTTGTTTTCGGTCCTTCTCCCTCCTTGCATCCCTCCACTGGAAAAAAAAAAACCTTCCCCTGTACATTGAGCAGCACTGCCCATGGACTCAGCACTGCACCATAGACTCAACACTGCCCATAGACTCAGCACTGCCCATAGACTCAACATTGCCCATAGACTCAACACTGCCCATAGACTCAGCACTGCCCATAGACTCAACACTGCCCATAGACTCAGCACTGCCCATAGACTCAACATTGCCCATAGACTCAGCACTGCCCATAGACTCAACACTGCCCATAGACTCAACACTGCCCATAGACTCAGGACTGCCCATAGACTCAACACTGCCCATAGACTCAGCACTGCCCATAGACTCAACATTGCCCATAGACTCAGCACTGCCCATAGACTCAACACTGCCCATAGACTCAACACTGCCCATAGACTCAGCACTGCCCATAGACTCAGCACTGCCCATAGACTCAACATTGCCCATAGACTCAACACTGCCCATAGACTCAGCATTGCCCATAGACTCAGCACTGCCCATAGACTCAACACTGCCCATAGACTCAACACTGCCCATAGACTCAGCACTCCCCAAAGACTCAACACTGCCCCCAGATTCAGCACTGCCCATAAACTCAGCACTGCCCATAGACTCAGCACTGCCCATAGACTCAGCACTGCCCATAGACTCAGCACTGCCCATAAACTCAGCACTGCCCATAGACTCAGCACTGCCCATAGACTCAGCACTGCCCATAGACTCAGCACTGCCCATAGACTCAGCACTGCCCATAGACTCAGCACTGCCCATAGAATCAGCACTGCCCATAGACTCAGCACTGCCCATAGACTCAGCACTGCCCATAGACTCAGCACTGCCCTTAGACTCAACACTTCCCCTGTACATTAAGCAGCCTCCCTCCTTAATCTCCTTCCATTCCTCTCACAGCTTCACCTCTTCTTTATTGCCCATTCTCTGCCCTCCCCTTGCCCCTCCACTCCTTCCCGTCCCTCCCCTACCCTTACATAATCTCTAAGTACCCCTCTATCGCTGTCACTCATTCCTCAATCCTTGCACGGCAGTAATAAAGGGAAGGGATTTTAATAGTATTACTGCTAACCCTACTTCTTCCCTTTATTACTGCTAATCCTACATAATACATGAGCATAATATGACTTTGAGACCCCCCCCCCCCCACCTCCTACACATTCCACATATCCGCATTTTCCATAAATATGCGAAATTCCTCTGTTGATATGCAAATTCCTTTGTCAAGGCGCCCTTCCTCCTCCAACCCAGCTTAAATATACGCTGCCAAGCTTGGTGGTGTTCATTCAGACGCTGTCTTTCCGACAGACCTGTTCTTCACCTGAGGACGGCTGCTTGCGTTGTGGCCGAAACGTCGTGAGAATTGTATTTTATTATGTTTTATTTTATTATTTCCCTTCTACGTGACTTTACTGAAAGAACCAAGAAAATTACATATGCCAGAATTGCAGCCCTAACTGGTTGACCCACTGTTCCCAAGTAAAAAGCCACTCAATTTATTCTATGAATTACCCACATCTATAATACATCTGAAATGCAGGTCTGAAATTGTGGACCCTGCTCAGTTTTTCATTCACCCTCACCGAGTCTCAAGACTCCTGCTCACGAGAGGCCTGCCTGGAATGTTTGGCCAACTCCACATTGAGTGATAAAATAACAAATAAACAGACACAGGTCTGTTTCGTCACGTAAAGGTAAAGTGACGTATTTGTACATCAGCCAACGGGGCTTTAATCGGCCTTCAAATGTGAAAGAGGCCTGGTAGTGCGTAATCTGATTGCCGGTAACCCATTGCGTGGTCACTGCAGGTGTTTGGTGGGTTCCTCGTGAACCTCAACACCATGCTGGACTGGCTGTCCTGGATCAAGTATGTGAGCATCTTCCGCTACGGCATGAACGTGAGTTGACCCAGGACAGAACCGTCATCTTTGGCACAAGGCCGTCGGTGTATCTTTGTACGGCGCAGGGTCAGATACCGTTAGCGAGCACTCGTTAAAGGGCGACGGGGCACGCGCAGAAGTGCTGTGGCCAACATCGTTCCCGACCGACTTTTTCACCCCAGTGTCAATCTTTACGGACCGTGCCAGCTGCTCCATTAAGGCTGAGTTGACCTGAGGGAAACCCAGGGCAAGTTTAAATGCCACTCGTCACTTAGGCGGCGCTTGGCCGAAAATAAAACGCAAGTCGATGGGATTGTAGCGCAGTGCACGGACCATCGCTAATCTGATACTGTCATTGGAAATAAATAAACAAGTATAAAGAATGGGCGAACTGAATATTTTCATTAAACTAAACTTTTTTTTTATTTTACCAGGTTAGGCCCACTGAGCTATACAGCTCTTTTTCACAAACGACATGGCCCACAAATGATAGCTTAACGAAGTGGCTAATTACGTGTAAATTTATAGCAGCCAAATACTCTAAAACGACGCGTGTTTTTTTATGTGGAGGGAAAATGTGGGGGACTCAGAAAAAAATCCACACGAAAACACGGAGAACATGCAAACTCCAAATATACAGGCGTCAGGGTCGGCATCGAACCCGACCTCCGACATCCCAGGTAATGGTAATGGCTATGTATCAACCACGTGGTAGATCACACGTCTCCTTCATCTTCTTCCAGGCGCTGTCAATAAACGAAATGAAGGACGTGCAGTATTGCAGTAACATGACCTGGTGAGTATGCACACAAGCATATAAACGTCATACATCACCGGTCCCAGCCTCACCACTCACCCACCTGGTGAGCGCGTGCAGGGCCTCTAAGTTTGATGGACGTCCAGGGACGTTATAGTTTTGGGAGCCTTTCTTACTATACTCAGTTCGATAATTGGGTTTTTACCCTTCTGTCTGGCAACAAAACTGACACCTTTTTAGAAGGAGTCATGTTTGCATAGACCGCAATACCTGCAGTCATAATACAAAAAAAAGACATAACTCTGATAATGTGCACTGTCATTGAAGTTGACATGACTCCTTGTAAAAAGGTGTCAGTTTTGTTGCCAGATAGAAGGGTAAAAAAACAATTATCATATTTTTTACTGGCAAATGAGGTTCCCATGGTATACTCAGTTCCTTCGCTGTATTATTTACCACCACCAATGCCTGATGCCACACACACTCCATTGTTATTCGTCTGGGTCATTTCAGTTCGAGTATTTTAAATGTGATATATACAAATTGTAAAGCGAAATCAAAGTTAATACGAACAAAACTCATAACTGGTAGTAATGTCTTCTTGTTTCTTTCGGTAAAGTCACGTAGAAGGGAAGTAATAAAATAATAAAAATAAAACATAATAAAACAATTCTCACTGAAGAAATGCTGTTTTTAATGACCTAGAAGATGTATCATAGAGCGAGCGTATCGTCAGCCATTATAGAGCAGTATAAAATCAAAAGCCCTAAGTGAGTTGGGCTCTTGAGCAACGTGGTGAAGGGTTTCTAATGCCACAGAATTGGTCAGATCATTACGTGGGTCTAACCAAAAGTCGCATGTGCTTCTGTGTCATAGCATGAGCGGATCCAAATTCCTGGAGCAGCAAGGCATCGACTACAGCTTGTGGGGCTTCTGGCAGAATCAGCTGGCACTGGCAGTGATGACGGTGGTGTTCATGATTCTGGCGTACGTGCAGATGCTAAGGATCAATCGATGGAAGTGACGAGTACTTGGTCATGTCAGGTGTTGGGTTTTGCAGATGTGCGGCATTGAAGCCAATGATTGTATTGTTGCATCATCCTTAGATATGGCAAGGATCTTCCTCAGATATTGTACGACTAAATTACAAGATGACTCAAGCACCGTTTCAAAAAAGTAATTGGTTTGAAGGTCCACCTGAATGCGAAAACACAAAAAATGTCAGAATCTTTATCGTGTTTGTCGACTGGAGGAATCCGATGAGCTGTGAAGCTCTGTTTCACAGCTGTCCAGTGTGATGGTTATGAGCGACAACTCTAGTTACAGCTCAAAGCCTATGTACTTTCTTCATAACTGCTGTGCGCAACACAAAAAATGTTGAATGTTCACAAAAGTATCTTGGCATCTGGCTGAATTATCATGTCAACTTAAAATCTCATATTAAAAAAATGAATACAAATTAAGAAACTCGGGGCTTCGTATCGAAACAAATCCGGTTTGCCATCTTCTACACAGAAACATTTGATAGCCACTGGCTTCTCAATGCCTCTCCGAGACTGCTGGCACACAAGTCAACCTCTAAAGAAACTTTGTATTTTCTCAACCCCCTCTTTCATTCCACCGTATGCTTTATCTTGCAAACTACTCCACTCAACACTGTGATCTTTATTCCAAGACCGGCATTCATCCTCGGTGGGAAGATTCATTGGGCCAAGTTCATCTTCAGTGCTTACTCAACGCAAGCCCCTCACTTATCCAGCGGAGTTTATTCAATGCCCCACACAGCACAAACGCACACTGTACCGAGCAAAAATAACTCACCCGATTCCCACTCACTCTGTTAATGCCCCAAGGACCTGGAATTCCATCGTTTCACACGCGTCCTTGGTTACTCTCACACCTGAATCACAAATTGATGCCGAGCCATCAATTCTTTACAGCTTCAGCTGCAGTTGCTCTTGACATAGGTCCTTGTTTGTTTACACACTTGTCAACCTATAGCTGCTTAATGTTTAATGCGTCTGCTGCGTAGTTTTGTAGTTTATGCGATGATCAATCTGGAGGGAATTTGCCCAAACTGATTGTGCTGCAGCGAATTTAAAGTTAAGCTTTGATTTAACGTTCATATCGTTTCGCAATATTTTTATTCCTCATGTGAGTTGTGTTTTTGCTTTCGTTCTGATTTCTTTACCGTATTGTACTTCGTTTGATTGCCGATTTTAGTCAGGAATTTAATTGAAGCAGCAAGTGAGAACATGTGAAAAGACTATCCAAATTTCTCAGTCAGATCTGCGAGAGTGCAATTGAATACGCGAAACACCGAATGTTGACAACTGTAGAGATAACATGCCGACACACACGTGCTTTGTGTTGCCATTGAATCTTCAGCAATGAAGTCTGACCAAGCACTATGCTGGAGAATATCAAATATACACTTCTTCAGCCATGTAGCCTGAGATTATTTACGCCATGCATTGGAAAACGCGGTTGGCATTGCGTGCCCCCCCCCCCCCTTCCTTTAAATCATTGTGTGGACACGTGCGGTTTAAGCCACCACCGTTAAACACAAGAGGACGGAGGTGCTCACACTCACCGAATATGGACATACATTCTTACAGAACATAAAAGGCAGTATGTGTACCTAAAGTGCATTTTTTACACATCGTAAGCGTGAAACGAAAGTTTGGCAGCTGATGGCAAATGTGCTTGCACACGACAGCATCGGTAAAGACCATTCAATGTGATTACAAATATAACAAAAGACAAACACTTGTGCTCAATACATTTTATTGGATGTTCAAAAATAAACACAGCAATGCTTCCCCCCTCCCCATACAATGCATCTGGAAACGTAAAACTTTTAAATTCAGCTCAACCCGGTGGACCTGCCCTACAGGCCTCGTTTCCAGAAGGGCCTTTAACCAGTTTCTAAATCATCACACGACCCATCCTCGCACAGGATTTAATCTTAGTTAATTATTTTCTTCTTCTAATCGTTTAATAATTACAGGAGCGCCGTTGTGATGTCACCGCAGTGACGAGAACTTAGAAAGTGGGAGAGAGCCCAACCGCAGTGACAGAACCAGAGCACGGCTGCTTGCGTTGTGGCCGAAACGTCGTGAGAATTATTTTATTATGTTTTATTATTTTATTATTTCCCTTCTACGTAACTTTACCGAAAGAACCAAGAAGATAACCAGAGCAGTCCGAGCAATCATAAACGTCACTTTTCACACATTTACGAGGAATTTGGTTCCAAATTGCATTTTTTTAAAGAATATCATTGTGGATACACACGAGCCTGTCTGTTCACGCACACGAGGGCTGCTCGAGTGATTTAATATCAACCATTGCGGAGTTCAATTTTGGAGCAATGACTTTATCTCGTATGGGGAGCAGCACATGGGAACGGTCAACGGACTCCGATTATTATTTCCCCAAAACAAGCCTCGATGCAAATAAGGTAGATAACTTAGTGGTTCCGAAAATCCTCGAGGGCATCGTCACAGTACCGCAGTGATTCTTGCAAAGTTTCCGTCACCCCGGGCCGAATAGGAAACTCCGTAAGCATTGCGTTCATCAGTAGTGGAGGTTTTTTGTAAACCTGTCTAAATAGAGAGAAGGGGGAAAAATGTATCGCCGATTCACAAAATAAAGCAATGTTTCAAACTTGGCTTGAAAGGTGATTTCACATATTACGTATAGCCTTATCAGACTTGGAGCAAGTGTTGTTTGCGTGCACCTATGAAGGCTGGAACGGCACACGGAGGGGGTGGGTGGCCAGCACCACGCCCGGCCGCCTTTGTCTCTCCAGTGGCGATGTTTACACAACGCACCAGGTACTCATTTGAGGCTGAGTCTACCTAGGGGAGGAGGCCATATATTCGTCACCGATGTTGGCCGTGAGCAGGAATCAAACTCGGGACGCCGGGTTCATCATAGCGCAGCGCGCTAACCGCTACACCACCGCTCCCCACAAAGAGACGCACCTGCCCAGCCGACCCCAACAACACCCAGTCGGAGCATCGGAGCAATCTCTGAACTCACAAATATAAAAGGCGGTAACAACTACGACGCTCTAGGCACAAGTTAGGTGGTGTTTGTGTGTGTGCAGAATTAGATGGAAGGGTTGAGATCAAATCGCGACAAACAGTTGATCATGCGCTCCCAAGTCTGGCACTGCAAGCAGCATTTGAACCTTTTGGCGGTACCCCCTCGCATCATGTCCGTGATGCAGTCATGTTTAGTCTGTTGATGGTCGGCGATGCGGCAATCGACTCATCTCGACGAGCTGTACACGATGCACCACTACGCCGCGTGCGAGCGTTCAGGGTTTCGGCGCAATCGTCCTCGCTGCGTTTCGACATCGCGGAGTGGCACCACCGATTTCGGATTGATTGGTGCCCCAGTCACGGAGTTAAGGAACACCCCTGGAAAAAATTGCGTCCCAGAAACTAAATATTACTGGGAGAAACCTCCTGGTTACACCAGCCCACAGGGGATTATTTTGTCCGTCCGTCGTGCAGGGAGGGGCTGGGTGGGGAGGGTGGGGCTGGGTGGGGAGGGGAGGGTGGGGAGGGGCTGGGTGGGGAGGGTGTGGAGGGGCTGGGTGGGGAGGATGGGGAGGGGCTGGGTGGAGAGGGTGGTGAGGGGCTGGGTGGGGGTGGGGCTGGGTGGGGAGGGGAGGGGCTGGTCACCCCGTGGTACCCTTATAAAACTCAACGTTTAACCTACTCACGCCGGCTTGTGCCCCCCCTCACAGTCGGGCATATTTGCGGAATACACCACGCCGCCGTTGACCCTGGCCATTGACCGAGCAACGCAACGTTCCTACCAGCTCCCTCCGCAGGAATGTGTTTGATTGCCTCGCCTGTTTTGTATAATTTGGTCACCCCGGGGTACCGCCATGAGGATCATTTGGCTCAACCGTTGATTTTAATCTGGATGTTGAGACTCAAAGGCTGCCTCTCTCAACCAAAAATAGTCAACTCTCATTTAGCCAGAGGGGCAGATATTGTTGAGTTTTTGACTAACCGTGTGTATTTTGAGACGCGTAAACATACTATAATCGTGAAGCGAAGGTTTTGGCAGCTGATGGGCAAATGTGCTTACACAATTCGGCATACATCGCAAAGATAAGCAGTAAAAACAAGAGGGTAGATTATACATCGTCATCGCTATTCTACGCAGGTAAACACATTTTTGCATCACATCATTTACATTTTTTTTTGCATATTCCATGGTTTTTTTTTTGCTGCCCCTATTTACCAGATCATTGAGTCGACTAATATCGATTACATTCGGAACATTATTGGAAGCCACAGCATCAGATCTGATGGTGGAGGAGCAGTGTTTTGCAACGTGAGGCTTGACTGGCAAAGCTATAGACTTCTGCGCTGGTGGTTACAAACCGAGCGCACGGAAATGCGCTCCCCCTACCAAACAGATTGCCTCCGTGTCAGCAGAATACGGAGGAGGGTATTCTCCCGATACGCAGCGATGGCCAAAGACTGCAGTGGCTCTTCCCAAGACAACGATGCCTCATTGTTCACCCCCCCCCTCACCAGACACAACCAGGCCCTATCCCAAACCCCTCCTTCCAAATCCCTCTTGTTTTTTGCAGTCAGTACACCACCAATTACAATAACCCAATTCTTCATTTCAATTGTCATGCCACGTACAATTTTTATAATTGCTGTATAGAAACTGTATCGATGTCAAATTGCGGGGTTCTGCGGTGGTAGCGGTGTGTACAAGCACAGACCACATGCACTCGCCACTTTCGTGTTACCACCAGTTACGCGAGTACTCTGAGACCGCTTCAGGCGAGCGTCTCTCTTCACTTGGCCCACGTGCTCAGAATCATCGTCACGCACTGTTGTGGAGAATGTTAATAACGTGGTAGAGATCACTCCTCCACATCTTTCCATGTGAATATTTTCCGCACAATCCGTCACCCACACGGCCCTTCTGCGGTTGCATCTCGTCAGAAGCTGCGGTTTAATCCGAGGAGGAAGATAATTCATGTTGAAACCGGAGCAGTTTGTTCGTATTGAACTAATGCCGCCGATAAGATGCATTCCCAAAAAGATGTGCAGCTGATGGGGGTTGTGTAAAAATACTGACATGTCTATGTGGAGACACACGGGGAGGTGTTTAGTTACTCAGAAGGGCCTTTAGCCAATTATAAATCTTAATAATCCTTACATGACAGCCTTAATGGCAGACGTGGTGATATTGTTGTGCTTGTGTACAATCAAAGCCGTTTAAAACACTCAACAGCTGTTAGTCACGACCACCACTATTCAGATCTAGAACGCTTCTGCTGTAACAAACACTTTTACAGAGGCAATGGCTGGACAGGCTGCTGGATACGTGGTGATGGTGGCATGTGTTGAACAGACACTCATCCCCCCCTAGAGGTATAAATCCCGGATGTGTGTTGGCTTGCATTATACTTCCCGAATAGCTCCAGTCTTACACTTCCACCCCACAACCCTCGCACGGCATTGCCATCATAAACGCAAGGACTGTAAACTTGGGCTACGCATCAACTGTATCTCTAATTATATTCTTAGGTTTTTTTCGGTAAAGTCACGTAGGTAAAACATTTAAATTAATAAAAGTAAAATAAAAATAAAAATCACGACGTTTCGGAGGCGACACAAGCTTCCGTCTTCAGGTGGAACCGTCACAGCACGATAGCTGTATCAAGTGGGAGAAATTCCAAGAAACAGTATATATATACAAATACTGTTTCTTGGAATTTGCAAGAAACAGTATTTGTATATATATACTGTTTCTTGGAATTTCTCCCACTTGATACAGCTATCGTGCTGTGACGGTTCCACCTGAAGACGGAAGCTTGTGTTGCCTCCGAAACGTCGTGATTTTTATTTTTATTTTATTAATTTAAAATTTTTACCTACGTGACTTTACCGAAAAAACCTAAGAATATGAATCCTTGCAGTCACGAAAGCTTCAAATCTAGAATGTATCTCGAATGTCCATGGAGGCGGCACAGCAATGTGACGAAAGGCCAAAGTTTGCACGCGGCAAGCTCGAGTTCTGAGCAATTCACACTGATCTCATGCTCACTTGAAGTTGTATTGCAAACGAGAAATCCGCAGACTGGGAAAAGACTAATGACAGCTTTTTATTTACGTATTAAATAATATAAAGCGTTGCTAAAGTAGGCGTTAAAAGACGACATGTATTTAGAATGGCAAAGGTTCAGCCGAGCCCTATATACTACAGGCAGTGTCCTTTACGACACCACCTTGTCAAATTTTGTTTTAACTCTTTTGCCAGATGAGTGAGGCTTACCAAACCAGCTGGTTCGTCATGACATCACACCGCCAACACAAGTCATAACCATCACTTTTGTTCTCACGACTGCTATTTCATTTAGCAAAAGTAAAAAAAAACATTAATAAATAAAAACGAATATGGCATCTCCAATAAGAATCGGAAAATCACATGGGGAACTAGTAAACACTTGTACTATAATGAACACGATAATTTGTATTTGATGACATAAAAAAAACATTCCATTATCCCCTGGTCTGCCATGTGGCTATGTCGATGTTGGTCATGTGATTATTAAATTCAGGTCACCAAAAAGTGCCATTAACATATACAGTTGGGTCAAATATTTTGTACTAAATATTGACTTTCCAAAAATTGTAACAGTGGAAACCATGTCATGGGACCTCCTTTGCCAGTGTCAAAATATAAGAATAGGTTTCCCTTTTTTTCTAGCAACAAAACAGGTGTTAAGATGTTAAAACACCAAACTGAAACCTTTTGCACGGAATCATGTCTACATTAACCACAGATACTTGTGATAATACAAACGAAAAGCATGCTCTGACAGGAAATGCATTGTGTTTGAAACCGATTGGTCTAACACCGTTTGAGACTAGGCTCTAAAGAAAGCCGTCTCTGGTGTGGACCAATCAGTTTCAAAGACAATGCATATAAAATAAATTAAATTTTCTACCTACGTGACTTTACCGAAAGAACCAAAGAGTATGGATCCCTGCAGTCACGAAAACTTCCAATCTAGAACAATGCATATACTGTCAGAGCATGTTTTTTGCTTGTATTTTCACCACAAGTATGTGGTTAATGCAGACACGATTCCTTGCAAAAGGTTCAGTTTGGTGCTTTAACATCTGAACTGTTTTGTTGCCATAAAAACGGGGAAAACCTATTCTTTTAGTGGAACAATGCTTTAAACTACACATATACAGTTCTAAATTCTACAAATGCACCTTATCAGTGAATACATAATCAAAAGCAGATGATTATAGAAAATCACGTACAACTTGAAGACTGCTTATCCAAATAAATCAATTCACTACAGCCAGATAAATATTTGGGTCAACCAACAATCACATTTTCTTTTTTGCAAAAAAGTTTAACTCGTTTTAAGTGTGGAAGAAATTATTTGCCAATTTCACTTCCAGTTATGGAGGGAGTGTAGTTTGACAGTTTCATTGCTTCAATGGCTCAAGGATTAATCTTTGTTCCATGGCCATTGGACGTAAAACTGACGATTTGCCAACATCTGAAGGTCACCGAAGACTGCAGGTCAGCTACGCGTCTGTGCTCGGTATGACATTGCATGCAAAGCACGTGCACGCATGTGCTTATAAATGCATTTAATGCAACCGCCTCTGGCAACTTTTTAAAAGATGACCATTAATACTGCAGGATCTTGTGTATGTTACCTGCTTTAGGTAGTGTTGGAAACGTGTGCACATCATTACCAGGGCCTGTGTAGCAGATGATGAAGCAGGATTTGCCACTGCACCATCACTTGAAAGCATTCAATTACCCCCCCCCCTTCGACTGCAGCCGACTACACACACCACTGCTACACATGTAGGAATGGAAAATGACTTCAAGAACATATAAAAAATGCCGAGTAGGCATGTGGTTCATGGAATAATCCAAAATGGTTTTAAGCAACAAAAAATATATAAACAAGCTGTACGTGTACACCAGTCTCACGAAACTGCCTGCGTTTCCAGATTGTGCCAAAAGGGGGGGAAATTCCGGTGGATTTCAAACCACTCCTTCAGGACAGCGATGCGGATCTGTGTAAGTCAGAGGTCGCAACCGGGTACCCGATACCCGTACCCTACCCGATACCCGGCTACCCGTACCTGGCCGGGTACGGGTACCCGTTTGCAACCCTGGTGCGGCCGGGTACGGGTAGGCCGTGAGTCACTGGTGAGTCACCGTTTGTCACTCATTTCCCAACGTCTGGTCTCTTCTCACAATTCAAGTTCCTAGAATCAACCAACCCGCGCCTGCAACATGGCTTCATCCCAGAGGTCGCAATCAGGTACCCGATACCCGTACCCGGCCGGGTATGGGTACCCGTTTGCGACCCTGGTGCGGCCGGGTACGGGTAAGGAATCAAAACCCGTTTGCGACCTCTGGTGCAAGTGTAGCTGAAAGACGCGCGGTGTGGCGGAGCACCACGTGTTGTGCCGCACGTGGTCCTTGTTTCCAACATGAAGGCGAAACACGCCAATTGCCACAATTCGGCGCTCCGTGGGTCTGACACAAAGTGACGCAGTGTGGTGTAACAAGGCGAAGAGCAGAGCATCCACAGGTTTTTTTTATCACCGCAGAGAATGTTTTTTTTTGTTTTGTTTCAGCATCACGTTATAGCGGTTACACTTCTCAGACTATAAAAAAAAACGGCACAAAGTAAACCGCACAATTCAAATAATTGTATAGCAAAAAATATCCGACTCAAAGCAACTAGGACTTAAAAAATGTTTATAAAATAGGCAACAAAACAGTGGTGTTATAACAATACTAACTAAAAATACGAAAACATTTATGAAGGGGGCGAAAAAAAGCAGGTAACAAAACTTTAATCCAGTATTTGGTTTCAAAGCTGCATGGGATTGTCGTGTACTATTACAGTTTAAGTAAATAATATATTGCAAAACATAACATACCCCACGTTACAATGGGGATACATGCAAACGAGCATCTTGCTCAGGGCAGGCAAAACGTGCCGTGAGCCAATTCTAGCAACGAATCAGTGTTGCACCAAGAAAATGTTTGTCGGAGGTGGTGAATGATGCAAAAACCTCCATGTAAAATCAGCACGTAGCCTTCATGAATAAACGTTGCAAAGCAATGAAGCGGCACAGTAAGAGGATTTAGGCAAAACCCAAACCCTGACCAATGCACAAGCAGAGTGGCCGGTCCAGTGTTGTGGCTGAGAAGTGTAAGATTCGATAGCCCATGTAGATTAAACTACTTGGCTGATCATTTCCTACAATTCCACCATGAGCATCATGAAGGTGGACTTTACCACTTTCCAATCGCCTGCTAAAATAATTCCCTTGTCCACCACCCCTCCCAGTGTGTCCGCAAGGCTGCTAGGAAATCAAAAACACCTCCCAACATGAGCAGTAAAACCACTCTGTCTATAAATCCTGTGGCATCGAAACAGCATCAATATGGACCATCCATCAGACGGCGCAATTATACAAGGCTCCCTTAATCACAGACCAATACAAGATCAACCAACACTGACACTTGAACTCCCTCTTATGCAACCACGTATGTTCACTTCGTGCAAAGGCCGCACTGCTGTGATCATTCCATGCGTGTCAATCTTTTCCCTCCCACGTAGAACATTCGCAGGACCAACGACTGGACATCCCACACACGGCATTTAATTCCAGTGGTGTAATTGAAATTCACAAAATTGAATGCTGACCGTTAACGTTCTATCGGAACAAGAAAACAGTGTGGACGCAGAGAAATGTAGCAACTTGTCACACAGTGGTCAACGGGTAATATTATTGACAATATAGCCACAGATTTTCAGCTAATTCCAGTAAATGTTCCATTTGCTAACCTTGTGCCAACTGACAAATTATCAAATCCGTACACGTAACTTTTGACATGTAAATATCTAAAACAATTATATCTACATAACAAGGAACAAGAATTCCACAGAACAAAGATATTACATCACAATGAAAGTCTTCATCTCAATCTGAAGCCTGAGTGTCGTTTCAATGCGTCTCCCCCATCCCCCACCCCCACCCCACTATTATTATTATTATTGTCCATTAAACTCGCGCACATTTATTTTCAAGTCCTCATTGCGAACAAGTCACCAGTCTGCAACATCGGCACTTGTGGTGGATTCACAGCTGAACTCGTGTGTGTGTGTAAACGGTTGAAGCCGTGAGAACGGTGAAACAACGCCATTTATATGGAACCGGTGCCCCCTCACTGTCTGTTCAGTTGACATGCGACCAGGACCATCATCACGTTTAAAGACGCAGCACAAAACAGAACAAAGCGCTTCCGACAGGAAGACGATGCTTCGGCCGGTCATGTGACTAGAACCGTGACATCGCAGCACACGTGAGTCCGACAAGCCGGAACCATACAGGCCTCAGTGGATATCTGTGAAATGAGGACCGTTTAATGTTTGGGCTACGTGATCCTTGAACCGATTTCTCCCCGCATGGATGAGCTTACTTAAAAGGCCCATCGGCATTGTGTGGACCTGAAAGGTGGTACTCGAATTGCCCAATGGGGCTGTATCCACGATTGCAATTCCACTTGGGTTTTCAGGTGTGTCACTCGGCTGCACGACAACAACAACAACAAAAATTACAGCCACATGCCCCCCCCCCTCTGCAAGGTGACAGACATTTGACAAAAATATACACAGCAACTTCAAGGCTTTTGTGTGCGATGACAGGATAACAGTTTGAACCTCGGCATCACTTGCATCCCGCTTGAGTCTGCATAAAGGCTTGCATCCGTTAAATCAACGACGCGATTTCCTTTGGCTCGTATGCGTGCATAAACGTTTTGTTTGTTGCTGCTGAAATACTGAAAAAGTTTTGCCTTGACAAGACACCAAAGCGCATAAAAAATGTTGTGCAACTAAGTCAAATACAAGATAGAAGTTTTCATAAACACTCTGCTACGTTGCTGAAAATGAAGCTCACTAATAATCAGCATATTAAGCTTTACGTGTATGCAATACATTTCATATACGCCAATGTAAAAATAGTGTTTGTAGATGTACATAGAAAATACAGTATTATATGCTAACACCTATCAAAAAGTAAGTGTAAAAAAACCTAAAACCGTGCAAAACAAAGTGACCACAACTCTCCTTTAAACAGCTAACCACTGCAACGTGACATGTAGTGGATTTTGCATTTCGCAACAGTAATGAGGGCAGCATGGTATTCATAGTGTCTGTAAATGTTGTAGTAGGAAAACTACGGCATTCTATTCAATGGAGCGCAGCATTCGGAAACAACATTAGTTTACAAAGCAAATAAAAGTAATACATCCAAATGAGGATTCAACAGAGTAAGGCAGCCTCAAAAACTGGAAAAGAATCTTCCCACTACTGACATTTCAATGGAACTTTGCAACGTAGCGGGCAACATCAGGAAGCCACGGAAATGTGCACAGCACATGAAGTGGCATCATCATGAACAGAAACTTGCAATAAGTTACATTATCTTTGACAAGGCCAGCAGTTTTTGTGGCGGAAGTTGGCCAATTCAGATAAATGAAATGCACGCGCACTGCCAAACCAAATTGAATCCCATTACAGGAAGCGACTTGGGCTCGAAAATGTAACAAAGCCAAAGCAATTTAAAAACATTGAATTGTGTATTAAGCACAACCCAAAAGGCTGCTGCGCTGAGCCTTTCAGCGACGTGGGTAGGCAAGCTTGGCGGACTCAATCAGGCTGGCCGAGGACAGCGATCCCGGCATGACACCTTGCCGGAACTCGGCAGCACCGGCACTGGCCGGGCCAGAGTACGCGTAAGGGTCGGCGTAGGAAACCGTGTCGGCGTAAGCGCCGCTATCCGACGCGTTTCGCCGTCCACGCGATGGCAGTGTGGCCGACACTCGCGCCCACTCCTCATCGTACGAAAACGCCGGGTGCCTGTGGCCCAGCTCGGCGTAGCGCGGCTGTACGGGGGGCGATGACGTCGCCGCGAGCGCACGGAGAGAGTCCTCGTCCGGAGGCACGTCCACGCGTGCCGGCAACCGCCAGCTCCTGGGAAAATCGGCGAGCGGCGACATAAGGAGCGACTCCCGGTCGGGGGGCACGTCCATTCGCCCGGGGCCGCGTGCCAAACCGTCAGCGGGTGACAGGACAAGCGGGTTGCCACTCGGGGGCACTTCACGCCGCGCCACGAGCTGCTGCTCGCGGCTTCTCCTCTCCAGCACAGCGAGGGCATGCGCACCAAGCGAGGGGCTCCGCGTTGAGGGCTGGGGCTGCTGATGCTTGTACTGCTGGCGCTGGTGGTGGTTGTTTAGAAGAAGCGAGGAGAGGCTTACGGACGAGGCTACCTCACGCGGCAGAGACCTGGCCTCCAGTCGCATGTCCTGCCTGAATGGAGTCTGCGGAATGCTGCGTGGGAGGGTGCTGCTGGTGTTGTTATAACCGTGGTGCGGCAACTCTAAACGGGCGGAGCTTGGAGGGACGTCTTGCCGCGAACGCACAACCGCCGTCGACCACTCTGAACCATCGGTGAATCCTCCGCGGCCCAACATTGCTTGCCCCGGCACTTTCTGCTGGGCCTGGCCACCGACGTGCACGACGTCCCTGCCGGGGTAGGCAAACTCCCCGCGCCAGGCCCTGGGCGAGACTCCGCCGAGGCTGCACGGCGACGTGGGGGAAGCCTGCGGGGGGGAGTCATCGTACTCGTAGATGCGCCCATGCGCCTGCGTGGGTGACGGAGGCACCTGGCGAGAGCCGCGCCCCAGTGTGCGCGTGGCGTAGTAGTGGTCGAGGACACGGGCGCGCATCTCGGCGGCGTCGACGGGGCGCACCTGCGACACGCGCCCGACACTGTACGTCGGCGAGGGCTGCGTGCTTGCCTCCCCCCCCGGGCCCGTCCGCTGGCTCGGCGGCCGCTGCCGGTAGTCGGCGTAGTTGTCTGCGTGGTTCGCGCTCATTCTCCCTGGCAGAGACTCGCTGTGCGGGACAAACGGGACGGCCGAGCGCGGTGCCTGTCCCCCCCTCCCCGGTGGGGCGGCACGCACGTTGCCGTAGCCGGCCAACGATGGAGGAACACGACCGCCCCCGCCGCCGCCGCCCGGCGAAGCCCGAGGCGCGTAATCGTACGCGTGAGACGCGCCGCCCTCCTGCGTGTACGTCACGCCGTACGCTCCCACGTCATCCGCGGTGGGCGACAGCACTGGGGTGGAGAGGGAGCGCTTGGCAGGGGAGCGGTCGACGTCGACGTCCGGCATCCACGTGTCGTGGCTCAGCGGCCCGGCGGGAAGCGTGTCTTCGGGCAAGGCATGGCGACCCCCATGTGGCGCTCTGCGATCCTCGTTACTGTCTGCGCAGAGTCAGATGAATGTACGTGTGTTCGTTAAAAACCCAGATGCATCAGTTGGGTACGAGGACGTAGTACAGCCGGTACCCATTATAAACCAGTACCTTTTTATTTATATAGATTTCAATATATGTATGTATATTAAAATCGATGAACACACGAGGAATTACATTGTTTCACAATTTTAATAAACACTTTGGGCCAGATTCACATCTTGACAAAATGGAAACAAAATTTGCTTTGTTGAGCCATTGCGATGGAGAGACATTTTATGCCATAAAACCTACAGAGGGGAACATTTGCAAAAATGTGAACCAGGCCCACTACTGTTTCAGGATTTGGCATTCATGGACGCATTGAGAATAAGCAAACGAATGATCCTCCAGATCATTGCTGGATCCTCGTAAAACATTTGAGATTCATATTTCCTTGAGGATTAGATGCACAACAGCAATCGATTGTGAATGAGAACATGAACAATCCCATCGGTTAGTAGTTCTGCATCCTGAGAAAATATTCCGGATCCAAAATTAATTATTTCGATCACCGTCACTAGCGTACTGTAACCACCATTACTGATGCCATAAACGGCTCTCATTGTTATCATCCCCATCATTAGAATCATCACCTCAATCACCGCCACCACCACCACAAGCAATGCACATGCATCGTAAAGCACAATCTGTTAGAGGCTCAATGTACAGACTTTACCACACCTGACGAATTTGCAGCGCCGGTAGCTAGCCAGCAGCTCCAGTGGTTGAAAACTATCGGTTTACCATGCTCCTCTGCGCTTGCCCTTCAGTGTGAAGTGTTTTCAATAACAAAACATCGCAATTGGTTTACTAACAAGGCACGAGAGCACGTAAATGACAAAAAAACTCGCATGCAAAGGGAGGGCTTACAAGTACACAGTGCACTAGCTCTAATAACAAAAAGTTTATCAAGAAAGAGGCATGCAATGATGTAACAGTTAAGAAGAGTTTGACGCACACACGAAAGTTTACTAACATTCGATTAGAACAGAGATACGTGCAAACTGCATGCACGTCTATACCGCCTAAATCAAATGTGCCGTTCACACCTCCGCAACGACAAGGGCACGTTGGGTTTTATTAAGAGTCGACGCGACCGGCGAATTCCACCTACCTGGGACTCTATCGCGAGGCGCCTCCCACTGCACCGGCAGGACGTGCAAGCGCTGCCCAGCGGAAGCGCCGTCGTCTGCCGGCCCCATCCGGTGAGCCGTGCTCGGCCCCGGGGGTCTGCTAGCCGCGCCACCGGCAAGGTCACGCGAGCCACCTGGGGCCCTGCGGCTTGACCTGCGCCAAGGGACGGGGGCAAAGGTCGTCAACGGCGACAGCGACCCATTGGGTTTAAAGAGATGATGCAACGGCGTGCAGTGATAAGATACCGCAGTTAGCCATTAGGTGCAAAGATTTGCAGACAGGATTTGTGGATTGAGTATTGGCAATGAGGTGGCCTGGCAGCATGTGGAAGTGGAGTTACGGATCTAGTTGAGGGTTTTAAGTTATCTCTTTATGGGTTTTTTCTCTAGACAACTCCACTTTCCCAACCACACACAAAAATACTCGATTTGAATTAACATAATGTATCAAGCACCACCCATGTAAAATGAAACACCAAGGAAGGGCGTTTTTTTAGAATACTTATAACGGCATAAATTTATAAGATGAATACATGAAAACAGGTTTTACAGAAATAATAGACCCACAAGCAGTGCATTTAGAAATCACTTTTTCTTTAAAAATGTATTTTAACGAATGGTGCCTCCTTAACGCTCTTTATTACTCTCTGGGGAGATTGATTTAGAGCAAACTCCGCTTTGCAAATGATTGGAGTTTGATCATCCCCACCAATAAAAACACAGACCAACAAAAGCCCGCGCCATTAAGGCAATGGGTGACATTTTATTCACGAACATTTCCACCGCAAGATTGTTCGGCAATCAATCACTGCCACATTTCAAATCACTAGACAGGAAAAAACTTAGGACCATAAAAAAAAATTGCGTCTGTTTGAGTAATATAAAATTGGGGTAACACCAGAACACAATGAATTGCCTACTTGAGCTAAAATATTATTTGGTATTAAAATTCTAATTAAATGCAATGGTTTGTCAGTGGTGTACGAGCAAATATGAAAAACTCTCCACCTTCGTTATTTAAACTAGACAACTCCAAGGCAGTAGAACTAATAGATGATTTACTGCCCATCGGTGGTTCAATTAATCATCAAGATCCAGAGGCACGAATTGTACACAGGATCGATCACATGTCCCTGAACTAACGTTAATACTTTATATCTGGGAGCCCCAAAGAAAATACTTGTGCAAATAGACTCAATGACGGCCATGCCAACTGCCCGCCACTCGGCCACCTGGCTTCGGCGTCACGATAAACAAGCCGAGACCGCCCCCCCCACACACCGGGCTGGCGACGTGGCGAGGTGCGGCCTGCCCGTCGACTGGTGGCCTGCCGTGGAAGTGCAGCGAGAGTTTGCGGAGATTCTCGGCGGCGTAGGAATCGTCCTGCTGCTCCCGCAGCCGCCCACCGCTGCCGTCGACCGCGGAGTGCCCGGGCGGTGGCTGCTGCAGCTGCTGCACGTGCACCAAACAGTCACCCGCAGGTTAGTGCCAACCAGCGCCACCCCCCCGCCCACCCCCACCGCCCACCCCCAAAGCAACATGATTGAAATAGGCCACCGCCCCACCTACCCGCCCGATGCCTCCAGCTTTCCCTGACGCAGGCGCCCGGGTGATATATTTACCCCAACTCACAACCGACAACTGATAAGCGGTCCATTTGTGAAAGTAGGAGATTGGTCGATGTGGAAAACTGCACAGCAAGTGCTTTAAAAGGACTGCACTTTAAAACGTGCTCGCTCACAATTCAAGCATGTGAAGTAAGATATATGACATTCTTTTTAATATCACTCCATCAATATTTTTTGATCCCCATGATCCTAAATATGAATAACTTTTTCAGAGGTAGCCAAGTGGCTCAGAGGTCATAGAATTGAAGCAACAATGCTGAGATACTAGGTTTGAATGCATGCAGTCGTAGCTCGTGATTATACTGGCTTTTCAGGTGTTGGTGACCTTTGCCCGGTTACCAATAAATGTACACAATAAACCCATGATATTGAATTTAGCTTTGAACTTTGTAAAAAACAACAACTCTTAGAAATACAAATTTCAGTTTTACTGTCCCGTGACAATCTAATGAATGAGAAAGTGCACATTCTACTGTGCTAAAGGTAAAAAGTTATTTCATGTCCTGAAATACAACTCTTCTGCTGACCATCCTCCGAGACGCGGAACGCACTGATATGCGAGATTTGTGAATGGTTATCATGAAGCTGAAAACAGGATTGGAAATTCACAACACAAGTCAAAACAACAACCCTTTCTAAACTTTCTCGAAGCTTTAAGTTCACGCATACGCAGTCAATCGCGATTCAAATGTTCAATAAATTACATGCAGTTTACAGCCTGTACAAGGAAATGCAATAAGTAATACGTGCTAAATACATACACACGTGAATATCGCTTGGTAAACATGAGATTTCTAATGGCAAATCTCTAAGCCACAGAATTCAGCAAGATATTCCAAGTCGAAATGCCGATGATGTCACCAATCCCAGCCCATCCTCCCATGAGATTTTGCCCAACCACTAACATGCTCGCCCGTTTACTCGCACAGGCAAATGAATAAGCCAGTTGAGTACTTAAGATAACGGGAACGTTGGCGCTCTCAACACAACCAACAAAGCGATCCGTCCCGTCCCGTCGTCGTGGGGAGACACTCACCACCCCCCGCGGAGGCAGCACCGTGCGAGGCTCCGTAGCGGGTGACGGTCGTCTCCTCTCCGGCTCGGCGGTCGGGGCATGCGGTTGCCCGCGAGTCGATGACGGGCTGCGGTCCGAGAAGCCCGGGGGGTGCAGCTGCCGAGCCGTGGCCATCGCCGACATGACCACTATGGCGACAAGAGCGGTCGGGGGGGGGGGGGGGGGTGCTCCGTTTTTATCACAAAGGTGGATGTGGTTTGTAACCACCGTTGAACGAAACCACCGCGGTGATGAAGAGCGTTAAATTCACGGTAACCACAGGGTTTTGAGGTCAAGGCAACTCCAGCCGTGGTAAATATGATGTCGAGGAATCGTGAATGCATGCATGCGTGCACATTAGTCCACCGGTCCACCCTTCCAACCTGGATGCTCAATGAAATAGGCCTCGGAACAAAAAGTAAATAAATGTATGTTAACAATGCCTAATAGATGAACACTTTTTTTTCTACTACGTAATTTGGTTTTATATTTTTAAATCATGAACGAGTCATAAGGCAAAACGGCTTTCGCTTTTATACTAATGCTAATGCAAGTGTTCAAGCCCAAACACTCTAATGTATGCAAGAGAGACATTGAGACCATAATTCTTTTTTTAAATCCTTTATATTAAGTTCACTTGCTTGCGCGCTAACGACCGTGCAAATCTTTCGGTCGTTTTTTAACCAACTTCCCGTGATCCAATCGAGCTGACATTTTGCACACAGACTCGTTGTGCGTGACAATTTATTTTCGTGAAATTTTCCAAAATTTTCCACTTTTTAGGGAAAATATAATTATATTTAATTTTAAATACCAATGTGATAAAAATGAAACTCGTACTCAAGAAAAACAGAAATGAATAATAAAATAAAACCGATGCCACGCATATAAAGGATTTATAGTGAAAAACTTTGTTTTTACGGGTTAATTTTTTCATTGTAAACTTGGGTTTACCAAACTGGAACTGTAGGAGTGAAAATCTAAACTTATAAACAGAGACGACACAGAACATTCTAAGTACCTGTTTGGTTGCCACCCTCTTCTGGCACATCCCGATTGGCCGTCCTCTGCACAGCAGGTGGCCAATTAAAGCCTCCTTCTCTGGGACTTGCACCATATGCCTCACTTTGTGGGGACGTTGCTGCCCTCCCCGTGTCCATGCCGGAATCGTACTCCTCCCAAACAAAGTGTTCCGGCACGGTCCACTGTCGCGCCGATACCCGCTCAGCCCGCCGCTCGCCCGTGGCTCCGAGCTCCCCGGGGCTATGTTCGTCCTCCGGCTCGTTTCTCTCCGGTTCTCTCGGTTGGGCGACAGGTCTGCTGGGGGCATTCACGGCACCGCTGCTGCTGCTGCTGCCGCTCCCGTTATTGCCGCCGCTACTGCTGGGCCCGTCTCTGCCGGGTTGTGCCGTCGCTGCGCTCGGCGTGCTCTGCGAGTCAGGCACCTCGGCGGTGCGGGCCCGCACCGAGTCCAGCTCCATCTCGCGCTGCTTCCTCATCTCCTGCTCCTTCTCGTTGCCGAGCTTCCCAAACAGCGCCTCCCACTTGCTCGTTTTCTTGGACTTCTGGGGCGGAGCGCTCTCCGGAGGCTGCTCCATTCCACCCTCCTTCTTCTGCAGCAACGACGGCAGTGTTTTCTCCGCAGACGGTTTGGGGGCAAGCGGCGGATGGAGATGCTCCTGAGGCGGGGGTTTCTGCATCCGATTGTGCGAGCTTTCCACTGTCGATGCAGCGGCCTTCTCCGAATCGGACTTTCTTGGCAAGTCAGCAGCAATGTTCGACAGAAATGACATGACGCTGTTGGTCTTTGTAGGCTTGGGTGGAGGCTTTGGAGGGATTCTATCAGGCAATGCTTTTGCCGGTAGGTTTTGGTTATCGTGTATTGAACCCGAAGGCTGTTCCCCTTGTGCCTGGAGGCCAGGTTTACTCCACGACGTTTCGGCTGCTGGTGCACAGTGTGACTCGATGGAAAAGGTTTGCCTTCCTTGCTCCAAGAAGCTCATGGGGTTTGCAGAGGGCTGCTTGGGGGAAGGCTCACGAGCATTTTCAGCAACTTCCTTGGGCTGCCAATTCCGATCGTCAAGACGAGGTGGCTCGAGAGCTTGCCAATCATCGCCGGCCGAGTAATGGGCCCTTGGAGATAAACGCTCGGCTCCTGGTGGAAGATTATGTGCTTCGGCGAAGACGCTTTGTTCATCGCTCACCGGAGGCTCCTCACTCTGCACGGGGAACATACGAGTTGACTTATTCCATCAAGCATTACAACGCACATGACACAGCATCACTTGGGCAATGACATGACAACGCATACAACCAAAGCAAATCTCATCTTGTTCAAACTAATTAAGCATCCCGACTCGCACGTAATAGAAACAGCATCGCGAAACAGGACAAAGCGACTCAATGCCCAAAGTGGATAACAAAACCATTGCCCACTTGCGTGTACGGAACGCCACAAAGAACACGGTACACGTACGGGCGTGCTTTGATCCACACGCTGCGGCTGCTGCCGGGGTTGCTCGGGAGTAGGGACGGGCGACAGCCGCTCGGGTTTTGGAGGCGGAAGCGGCGCCGGCTGCTGCTGCGTGGGAGTAGGTAACGGGGTGGCCGTGGTGACGGTGATGGCAGGGGGTGCCCAGGGTTCCTGTTTTCTTGACGACGACGGCGGCGCTGACGATGGCGCTGATGATGGCGCTGGCACTGGTGGTGGCACTGGCTCCCTTGGCGACGAGAGGGCGGCGTGCAGGTGGCGCGCGCGCTCCACGCACTCACGCTGCCTCAGCTGCACCAGCGCCCGCGTTCTCTCCTCGCCCTTGGCGGTCACCTGTTTCAGCTTGGCTGCGCGGATTCACGTGTTGTGCGAGCATGAGCACACACACACACAAATGAGAAGGCTGTGAAAATGCCGCCTCCCCACACATGCACACACCGGCTGAAGGGCTTTCATAACAAGGGAGTTTAAAAACATATACATTTTCTAAAGTATATCCCAATCGGGCTTTCTCGGTGTCATGTTATGAAACGAGAAATCCATTCGGAGCACTCGCAGAGCAGTGCGACCCTTCGCGTTAGAGGAGAGCCCACAGAAGTGGATCCCGCAGAGCTCCCTCGTGAGTTTCCCTTCAAAGTGACCTCTGTTTCACACGCAGGGCAGAACGCCCCCACTTGCTCTGCCACAGACAGTCATGTTCATCTAATGACAGTAAAACTGACACGTGGAATCTAAGATGGTTTAGTTACATTATTAGACATCACAATGTCCTGCAGCAAATGGTAATTGACTAGATATGTAAGAGTTAAACTGTTTGGCTGAACTGATAACATTGGAAAGGGGGTTGTGGGAGGGGATATGCAATCAAACAATTACGAGTCAAACGCTGAATCACTGACTCAGACTATGACTAACGTAGAAAACCGCTAAAGAAGTGAAGGCTGCCTGCCGCCTGCCGTCTCACCGATCGCCTCGTTGCAGTGGCAGAGCGCGGCGGCGTGGTCTCCCTCGCGCTCCAGGAGCTCCGACTGCTCCTGCAGGGCCTTCGACTCCGCCAGCAAGCGCAGTGGTCGTTCGGTCTCGCGCGTCTGTGGGCGACCCGGCAGCAAGGAACAGGGGGTGAGGAGGCGTCAGATCAGAAGATAAGAATCTTTATTTAGACTGCAAGAAGAATCCGATGAGCTGTGAAGCTCTTTTCCACAGATGTCCAGTATGGGGCGGGTCGGCGAGTTGCCACAGCAAATACAAAACGATAGCAGTGCAACATAGAGAAAATGGTAAGCAAGGCACTAAATATAAATAAATAATGCATGCGTTCTTTACATGAGTCCGATTGATCAAGAATGGGCAAGGCAGCAAATACAGCAGCAAAACAGTCCCAGACCCACACCAAGATAACACCACACAGTAGTCCCTCAATAAAATTGCACATTAACATTGAACTATCGATACGTAGGCAATGGTCTAAACATTGTCCCAGTGGTTACGAAGCACTGGATCGCACCGACCGCTCGTCTCCTCCAAAGAACACATTTTCTTTGTCGAGTCCAACACGCTTGTACATTGTGGGATTCGAACGCAAGCGGCTCGAATCGAATTCCTCCGCGAGTTAGGCAGCGAGGCAGCCTTTCGATCCACCCGGCTCTCTCTGCTTGTGAAGTCGACGTACGCAGCAAGTGTGCGGTGCCGAAATTTGGTGTTGGTTATTTTATCGCGAAAAGTAGAACCAACCCGGTTTCGCTGCCCCTCTCCAAGCGAGACAAGCAACTGTGACTAAATGTTCAGCTGCGAGTATTTCACAGCTGTGCATATCGTCATGGTCTACACGCATACCAGGGTGATCTGCCAAAAATGTCGGGAGGAAAGCGAGGCAGTGTTGGATATCGAGCAGCCCTCTGTAATAGCCCACTTGATGACAGAACGAGTGGTAGGATAAATACTTCTATTTTAAATGCCGAGAGAACTGGGAAACGTAGCAATTAAAAGGAGGATAAATATACAAGAAGGTTCCATATGAGAAAATAAAGCTTACAAGATGACAGCAAACTAAAGCTAGACTTATTTTTTGAAGCCCCATCTGTTAACTAATTATACGACAATGCAAAATATACGAGCATGTACAACATTTTTTAATTTTGTTCCTAAAACTGGTCAGAATTAGCAGGCACAACACAATATTTTCATACATTTGTATTCGAACTGGACATATCGATGCAAATCTTTCACTTAAAATCGATTCTCAATCCAACTATACATACAGCAAATCGTGCATGTACACACACATTACCCACTGTTTATGGCAAGTGTATGCTTACGCCACGCTAACGGAGCGAACAAAATTGTATGAGACAAAACAAACGAGAAACAACATGAATTCAACAATACGAGCTGAAACAGAATCTATTATTAAACACAATTAAAATGAATTGTTATTGAATTAAATTGTGTAATGCATACTTATGCTAGACAGTATACGGCTGAATAAGCCCGCGCCAAGACATCTACGAGTGCCCTCACTACTCAACTCAAAAGTTTGTTGCAATTCTTCTTTCGCATGGCGAGGTGAAATTTGTAACATTACGTACGTGTGCGCATCGAGGTTACGGAGCCATTCAATAGCCTCTGTGGAGGTTTGGTAAAGATCAGTGATATAGCCGGCGCATTGGCGACACGTGCAGTGTTAGATCACGTGGCTGATGGTCTGACTCGCGACTCCACACTTTGCTTCATTGTTGCAATATTCAAATCTTTAAATGAGAAAAACCCCATTATGACAAGGTTTTCAAAAGGCCGACTTCGATGAAGTGAGCACTGGTGACTACTGTGCAGACAAGTCCTAATTGGGATGAAACTAATCCAAAGTTGTCTCTCGCTGCATCACTGCTTAGTTGGTCACAAGATGCTCAAAAATATTTTGATGGTGACCTAAGGCAATGGGACGATAATGGACTTCAGGAAATGCTGGTTTTTGCATACACACAAAGGCTGTCTTTATAAATATGAAACTAAAAAAATTGTACTGCATCGTTTGCACACTGTAACCAATTACCCGCATGCTGACAAGACAGCTGTTGGCGGAGGAGAATATAATATGTTACGTCTATCTTGGGTTTACCCACGAGGTAAGAGAGCACACGTATTAAACGTGCCCTAACAGCGGCAGTGAAAGCAGGAGTTTCTCTGGCTCCGTGCGGCTGTCGTCTGTGCATCTGCCGCCCAACAACTTGAGATGGCGTGCTGCGGTTTCTCGGTGTTACATGGTGCACATGTGTGACGGCTTTGTCAGCGTAGGCATGAGTAAAGCGAAAGTGTTTGTATTTTTAAGTCTGTGTCCTTTCCGTCACTCCCTCTTGCCGGCGGTAAGATGGGGGTGGAATCATTTGGCGAGTTGACTATCGCTGTGGAATGCACTCCCATTACTCCCACTACGTTTAAATTAATATGACATTGTAAACCATGCATTGTGCCTCCCAATAATAGAGGTCAGTTCTTGGTGAAGCTAGTATTTTGTATAGTGATAGGCGTGTATAATTACGTGCCTGTTGTGCATTTAAATATAGTGTATTACATGTTTTACGTCTAATGCATGTATGTTTACACAGTAATTCCTAACTACGAGTTGCAATAGAAATGTGTATAAATTGATTATTACATTATTAGTTTCCCAACAATTTCAATTAGCTTCATGTATGTTTACTATATTACGTGTGCATTGCGCTGTACTTCCGGTACAAAGAAATAATACTCAAAGTTTTTCCACTGCTGTTCACTCAACATGAGCCAGCCATAAGCCTTCCAATATATATCTGAACCAGCTCAAGCCTCCAGTAAATCACGTGACTTGTGCGTGGCCAACCCCACTCTGGACCCCTCCCGTCACCCCAACCCCTCTGAAAACAGTTATCTGCTCCGTGCTGCTCACTGTGCTTGCTTCTTCCTTCTCGCTCTACTCCCCTTCTGGTGGTGTGCTATGGGTGAAACGTTTCATCATTCAATCTCGAACGCCC